AGTAGGCATCTCGGGATAGTCCACTATTCTGTCATAATTAGCACCACAGAAAATTTTCAAGTTGCTTTGAAAAACATACTCAGAGATGAAATATATAGCTGGCCAGCCTGTGGAGAGTGAATTCAGTTTCGACTTTCTTGATATTAATCTCGATCGTCAACTTGATCGGATTAAGAGACGCCTGGAGAAGTGGTGGGCTTGTGAGACTGTTCACGTCCTGAATGCGCTGGCCAGTGCTGAGCTCACAGCTGGCTGGGTTAGAGGAGGTGGGGTCCAGGTGGAGGAAGTAGGTCACGGAGGGCAACCTTGGAAGGCTGTGTCTTGTTCCCAGCTCCTTCCTCCCTGGCTCTCTCACTGCATCCTGGCTGCCATAAGACGAGCAACTTTTGCCAGTGTGCACTTCTGGTCTGATGTTTCTGCCTTGGAGCCAGCCAGCCATTAATTAAAACCTCTGAAACCCACAGCCAAACTAAACAAAAGGAGCCAAATTAAACCCTTCCTCTCTTAAGTTGTTTTTCTTAGATGCTTGGTCCCAGCAATGAAAATCTGACCAACACAAACATAAAAGGGAAGATGGGGGGCACAAATGCACTTTTTTCCCAATCCATTCTCCCCCCTGATTACTTCTCTTTCCTCTGGCTTCTTTTGAATGGTCCTGTTTTGTTTTGGTGGTGGTCTCCGTGCCCTGGATTGTTTTGACATAACACAGTAGTTAAGATTAATGTTTCTGGAGCCAGAAGATTTCAATCTTGTTTTCCCTGTAACCTGGTACAAGTTACTTTACTTCTTAGAACCTGTTTTCTTGTGCGTAAAAGGACAGTGTTTACCAGGTTGCTGGGAGGCAAATGTGAGTTAATGCACACTACCTAACATGTAATAAAAGCTCATAAATAGAAACTCCTATTTCCCCTTTCTCTAAGGTGCTTTTAAGGTTACCAAGCACTCTCACGCACATGGTTGCCTCATTCAGCCCTCCAGAGAGGCATTGTAATCAATATACAGAGCACGGAAATGACCTGCTGCAGGCCTCAAGGGCTTGGTCCAGTGCTCTTCTGCCACAAGTAGCCATGTTTATTCAAATCAGAGGCCCAGCTGTCTTTATAGAGAGCACATAATGTCTGCACAGAATGAAAGATTCATAAGGGACACGGAAGGTAATCTATAAAGACTACAGCTTTCTCCTCTGTCTCCCAGGCACTCGCCTCCCCTCCCCTTTATGGTCTCCTTCTTGAGAATAGGAATATTTAAATGCAGTAGTTTGCTTGTGGCAACCCAAATTCTCCAGTAGGTAATCAGATGTAATATGAAATCTTTTTTCAAGAAAAAATTATTATTTTGAAGTCTGAAGCAAGTACAGGAAGTCTTAATATACAGAATGAGGGGTTACACAGGAAGCTGCTTCCAGAACAGTTAGGTAAGGACTAAATGTATAATAGTTCATGTGAAATAGGAAGTAAAGGGGCAAAGGGGAAGGAAGTGGGAGGGCTAGGGGAAAGGATAGAAGGGAATGGGATTAATATGAGAAAATGGAAAGATAGGAACAAAATCTTTGTAAATAGGGAGGACTGGAGGGGTTGAAGGGAGGGCTGGGCAAGGGTGAAAAATAAGAACCAAGAGAGATTATGTAAAGGCACAATTTTCCAATGATGAATGTCATTATATTGTATACCTAAAATGTACCAATGATTAGAATGAATAATCGATAATGTAAAATAGGAAGAAAAGGTCCAAAGGGGTAGGGGTAGTGGGAGGGGCAGGGGAAAGGAAAGAAGGGAAAGGAAAAATGCTGAGAAATGGAAAAAATAGAAATAAAGTCTTTGTAAATAGGGAAGGGTGGAGGGTGTGAAGGGAGGGCTAGGAATGGGGAAAAAATAAGAACCAAGATGCATTACGTAAAGGTACAATTCCCAATGAGAAATGTAAATGTGTTGTATACCTACAACGTACCAATAAAAGAATTTTATGAAGTGCAAAAAAAAAAAAAAAAGAATCCACTCCAGACGCCACAACCACTGCCGCAGCAGCTCCCTCTCCACACAGGTGAAGCTGGCATTGACCCCTGAGACAGCAGCGGCATCTTGGCATCCCCGAGCTGGAGACTGGATACTGGAGCTCTGTTTTCCAAACCCACCGGACCGTCACAACCTGGCTTGCCAATAGGAAAGGTCAAAGCAGCAGGAAGCGGCCTCTGCCTTGTTTTCTCCCTCCAACTCCCACCCAGGCCATCACACCAAAGGACTCTAACTCATGTCCCGAGTTATAGCTGCAGAGACTCCGGGGAATGTGGTGTTTACCTGTGCAGTAAAAAAATCCACTAAGAGGGACTGAGGAGATGGTCCCCACGCGACATTCCGAATGGTACTTTTCGTTTTGGGGTTTTTTTTTAAAAAGAAAAGTCAATAAATAAAAGAGGCATGAGCCATTTTAGGTCCAGCCAGTCTAGGCCAGCTCACTTGAAGAGAGATGGTTAATCTTCAGCCCTCCTGTCCTCAATGATAAACAAGATTAGGGTGGAGCTGCAATCCAGCGAGGTCACAGAGGCAGTACACTGGGTAACAGCGTCATCACGGACATGCAATGCTGCTGTCTGAACAGAACTTCAAGATTTGTGAGGGTTGTCACTGGGATCATCCTCCATGCTAGCAGGTGAGGAAGAAACCACTGCTCCAGACAGGTCAAGGAGACTGAGTTATAAGAGGCAGGGCATCTGAGGTCAGGCGATCCTGTAAACATCAGAGAAGCCATTACAGAACAAGGACTGGGCAGGAGCTTCAGACATCACAGAGAAAATAGAGCTCAGCCAGGCTTAGTGGCGCACACCTGGAATCGCTGCATTCTGGGTAGCTGAGGCAGGAAGATGGAAAGTTTGAGCGCAGCCTGTGCAAATTAGTGACTTAGTGAGATTCTGTCTCAAAAAATAAAAAGGGCTGGGGATGTGTGAAGGCCTGGTTCAACCTCTAGTACTGCAAAAATTAATAATAAAAAAGTAAAAGCAGCATATGCATATTGTTTTGGCTTATACTTTCCTTTTTTCCCCCTTCTTTATTAGTCTTGTATTTCCTTTCCTATGAGAAGCTCTGGATAGTCCTTCTACTATATCAATTTTCTTACTATAATTCCTCCAAGCTGGACTTTGTGGCACTAGATAGCTGTGTTAGTCAGCTTTCTGTCACTGTGATAAAATATCTTAGATAACCAACTTAGGTAAGGAAAATGGCTTATTTTGGCTCACAGTTTCAGAGTCTTCAGTTCATGGTCACTAGGCTCTGTTGCTTTGGGCCTGTGGAAGCACAGTTCATCATGGTGGGAGCGTGTGGTAGAGGCCTATCTGCTTCACAGTGACCAGGAAGTATAAGAGAGAAAGAAGAAGGGACTGACCTACCAATATCCTCTTCAAGTGCACACTCCCAGTGACCTAACTTCCTTCCACCAGACCCCAGCTCCTGAAAGTTCCACCACCTCCCAATAAGACAAGCCTTCAACACATGGGCCTTTGGGGACTGTTTGTTTTACATCTAGATTCCGCCCAGAGCCTCATGTGATCATAGGTGGGGCTTTTGGGAGGTGAGTGGAGCACAGGGCACTCTACTCTTTGTGGGTTGGTGCACTGATGGGTTTACAGCTAAGTGTGCTGTTAGGAGGTGGGGTCTGGTTGGAAGAGGTGGTCCACTGGGGATGTAGCCTGGAAGGGTGCATCTCTTTCCCTGGCTCTGCCCTTCTCTCTCTTCTCCCATGGATGCCATGAGGTGAGCAGCTTTTCCTCTGCCCAAGCCTTTTGACTATGCTGTCCTACCTTGGAGCTAGCCAACTACAGACCGAAATCTCTACAAACTGTGTGCCAAAATAAAAGTGTTAGACACAGTCCAATACTCAAAGTCCAATGATTAAAAACTCTACAGAAAATTGGAATAGATGGTCTTTATTTCAATCTGATAAAACCCATCTATGACAAACCAACAGCCAAAATCATATTAAATGGACAAAAAACGGAAAGCTTTCACTCTAAAATTAGGAACAAGACAAGGATGTTCACTATCACCACTCTTATTCATTATAATTCTGGAAACATTACCCAGAGGAATTAGACAAGAGAAAGAAAAGGAATAAGGATAGGAAAGGAAGAAGTTAAATTATCCTTATTTGCAGATGACATAATGCTCTAGAGAGAAGACCCCAAACTCCACTAAAAGACTTTGAGATTTAATAAACAAATTCAGTAGCATAGCATAAAGTTAACAGTCAAAAATCAATAGCATTCCCATACACAACAAACTCAATGAGAGAGGAATTAGGGAAGCAACACCTTTCACAATAGCATCAAGAAAAATGAAATACCTAGGAATAAATCTAACGAGGAAGTAAAAGACCTTTATATGGAAAACCACTGCACTCTGAAAAAGGATATCAAAGAGGATATCAGAAAATGCAAAGATATCCCTTGTTCTTGGGTAGGAAGAACCAATATAGTGAAAATGGCTATACTTCCCAAATTGCTAATTTAATGCAATCTCAATCAAAATTCCAATAGCATATCTCACAGAATTAGAGAAAACAATCCTGAAATTCATTTGAAACCAGAAGAGACCTAGAAGAGCAAAGACAATTCTGGGCAACAGAGGCAAGGTAGGGGGCATCACAATCCCTCGCTTAAAATTATACTACAAAGCTACTGTGGTAAAAACAGCATGATGTGGGCCAGGGATTTAGCTCAGTGGTTCTGCTCCCTGCCTTGCAAGCAGAAGTTCGATCCCCAGTACCAAAAAAAAAAAAAACCCAGAATAATGCTGGCAAAAAAACAGACCTGAGGATCAGTGGAACAGATTAGAAGTTGCAGAAACAACTCCAGACACACTCAGCCACCTCATCTTTGACAAAGGGGCTAAACACCCTCACTGGAGGAAAGATAGCCTATTTAATAAATGGTGCTGGAAAAATAGGCTTCTACTTGCTGAAGATTAAAACTAGACCCCTATCTTTCACCACACACTAAACTAAAATCAAAATGGATCAAAATAAACCTTCCCTCCTTTAAATTGTGGTATTAGGGATTGTGTCTCAGCAACGAGAAAGCAACTAAGACAGAGACATTACATATTCAAACTGCAGCAGTAGCTTATGCTTGGAAATGTACATAAACACTGCATGAAATGTCACTCTGTAATTTTTTCTCAGGTTCCCATTCATCATGTCCCACATCTGGCTTCGAGAATTTGTTGATCGTCACCCAGGGATTCCACCCAGGTAATGTTCTCACCTGCAAAAGCCTCCCAGAGCAGAGGCCAGGCAGGCAGTGATCTGAGGAATTAGAATTGTTCACCCTACACTTCACAACTGAGAGACAACCACTTCTGGAGGGGCCTAGTGAAGCTTCTCTGGTTTAGGGATCATCCTAAGGAAAGAAATCCCGTATTTATTGCAGAATCTAAGCAAGCTTCCCATTCCAGAAAGATCAGGGAGATACTGGCTTTCTCTTAGGAAGGGCTTTAACAAGAAGTATGAAGGACCCAAGCCCAAATTTTGGATGGGAATCCTTTAATCAAACCACCCCATGCTTCCCTCCTATGGGAGCTGACTGCACACATGGAAACTAAGGAGGGGTTTCTCCGGGGTCATGTGTGGAACAGGTAAAATGAATCCCAGACACATTTCACAGTGCTAGGTTCATTTTGTCAAGAGATATCAGATAAAAATCAGTAAATCCTAACCATATTCTCCCTTCACCACCAGCTCCTAGGGAACTGCAGATATTTAGAAGCCAGGAAATCAGAACAGCAACCCTCACACTGTGGCTGTCGTTAGGTTCAGCCCCTTGGTAGCAATACTGATTTTGTGGATTTGAGCAAGCCTTATGCTTGTTTTAGTATTTAATCATTCTAACAATTTGGTCAACAAATAGAAGTTCTTTTCTCTCAAAAATTACTGAAACGGGTGAGTAGGAGACTGCTTCCTTCTTGGATTCCTTAAGAATCTTCTTTTCAGAGAAAGCACAGAGCCTACCCTTCAGTCCCTAAAATCCACCCAAACCAAAGAGCAAGCAGGGTGCAGAAGAACAGGGAGTGGTTCCAGTGTTTCCTGATTCCTCCTTCCCCACAAGTCCTTGTTCCTTCTGTGTATGTATGAGATTGTCTTGTCTACTGTGGAGCCTATTTAACTGTGGTCTTGTCTCCCTGGGAAAATGCAAACAAATCTTTGTTGGCTGCTGTTGCCTGGTGTTCCATGGAACCAAATCACTAACAGGGTCTGGCCTGAGCCAGCCCCCTGGGGATCCCGAGGCTTTGGGTGGAACAAAGGTAGAATGGGTGGAGCAAAGCAGAAGTGCCCACTGAAAACCTAAGGCTGGGCAATCTTCAGGTCACTTGCACTTATCATCAAAGCTACAGAAGAGGAAGAAGGCTGCAATCACTCCTCTCCCCACCAGAGGGTGCCCCACCCTCCACCAGCAGGGCTCACTGTTGGGGAGCTCTGCGCCTGCCACATGCCTTTCCAACAATAGCAAATCCCCTCCCTTAGCAAATTCCATCAACTCTGCCTCCAGGATAAATGCTTCTCTCCCATCTAAATGCTTCTTCCATCTAAATGTTAGTCAGTTTTATGTCACTATGACAAAATGCCTGAGATAAGCAACCTATGAGGAAGAAAGGTTCTTTTGGCTCATGGATTTGGAGGTTTCAGTCCATGGTTACTTGGCTCTATTTCTTTGAGCCTGTTGTGGTATAGTACATTATGGCAGAAGCATATCACCAAGGAAGTCTCTCTCCTCATAGTGGCCAGGAAGTGAAAGAGAAGAGAGCTAAGGTCCCAATATCCCCTTTGAGGACGTGCCTGAGGGACATAACTTCCTCCAAAGAGCCCCCTCCCACTTCCTTCACCAAGTTCCACCATCTCCCAGTAGTGCCACAGACTGGGACCAAGCTTTAACTCCTGAGCTTTTGAGGAACATTTCAGAGCCAAACCACAGCAGCTTGGCTCCAGCTCCCTGACACCACATGTTCCAGACCACCGTCACCTCTCCCTACTCATCTTCAACAATGCCTACTCTCATCTTCCAACAATCTGTTCTCCAGATGAGCTTCATAAAATTTGAATTGGATCACAGCACTCTGTTGGATAAAACCCTGCAACCCACTACATTTAGCATAAAATCCAAACTCGTTGCCAGGGCCAACATGCCCCACAGGAAATATCCCTGCTTATCTCTCCAACCTTCTCCTAACTCAAGCCCCTTGTGTTTCCTTTGGCTTCTTCAGGAAGCCATGCTTCTTTTACTCCTTGGGGCTTACAGAATTTTCCTTCTATGTGGGCTGCTCCTTCCCCTCAACCCTTCCTACTCCTTCTACCCAGTGTGTCTCAGCTCCGTTGTTAACTGGTGAGTCATTCCTTGACCACCCGGACTAGAAAAGATCTTCTCCTTCTGCCTACCTCTCCACCTCTCTGATTCCCTATTTCACATCTTTTTGAATTTCTTTTGTGTATGTTATCACAATATCCATATATTGTTTTTTTCCAGTCTGTCTTGTCATTGGTATAGTAGTTAACAGACAGCTCTTATTGTGGGCCCAGCCATTATGCTTTGGATCTGAAACATCCTGTCAAACCCATGTGTTGAAGACTTGGTATACTGAATATAATACCGAAGCTCCAGTATTCAGAGCTGAGGCCTTTGAGAAGTTATTGGATCATAAGAATACTAACATCACTGCCAGATTAAGTCATTGATGGCTTCCTAGCTGAACAGGCTATTGGGAGGTGGTGCGAACTTGAAGTGGTGGGAGGAACTAGGTCACTGAGGGTGCTTTGAAGGGTGTATTTTGCCTTTACACCCTTTTCTCTTGGGCTCTCTCTCACTCTCTTTGCTCCCTGGCTGTCAGGAAGTATCATTGCTCCTCCAGTGCTTCCCTCCATGTTGTCCTTCCTTGCCAGAGGCCCAAAGCCATAGGGCCAAGTAGTCATGGACTGAAACCTCTGTAACTGTGAGCTCAAACACATCTTTCCTCCTCTTAAGTTGTTTTCTCGGGAATTTTATCACAGCCACAGAAAACTGACAAACATACACGCATTATCATAAGTGCTTATCTCATTTTATCTTTACAACTGTGAACTAAAGATGAGGTAACAAGGCACACTGTGGGTAATGGATTGTTCCAAGACAGTTGGAACAGGTGGGACTTGAACTCATTGACCTGGTGCCACCATTTGTCCTTAGAGTCACTGCAATTTACTGCAGTTCCAGGTTAACCTCCTCACTGCAGGGCTTGCTTGCCTTTCTCTATAACTCACTTCCATAACCTTTGCCTAACAGATGGCCATGCATGGTAGGCCCTCTACGCACAGGTGTTGAGTAAATTAAAATAAATGAACAATCAAAATGATTCTGTCCTTCATTTGTGGTTTAGCCTCCTGATGACCAACAGAGCCTAGCTGCCCTTCTGCTGCTCCGCACAAGCATTCATCCAACCCATCCTTAGCTGCCTCACTCTGAGGGCTCTACTAGGGAAACAGAATTGCAAGCCAGCAGGGAAAACTAATAAAAGTAAATGTTTCTTGGCTCACAAGTTTTAGTGACCACATCAGATTCTTGTAAAAAGAGTTATATTAAATGCTAGTGTTAACCAATGCCATACCCAAGCCACAGACCAGAGCCCTGTTGCCCAGGGGTGGGGTCACACACACTGCACTGGTTTGTGGAGCTTAAGATGCTTCTGAAAAGATCACTTCTAGGGGTTAAACAGAATGTGTCAGATTTCAATGCATTTTTCAAATATTGATTGGGCTGGGGCGTAGCTCAGTGGTAAAATGTGTAATTAACATACAAAAGGCCCAGGGTTCAGTTCCCAGCAAAACACACACACACTCACACACACGCACACACACACACAACGCATATGCGTGCAATTGGAGTGACGCCTGAAAGCTCTAGAGGCAGCTATGTGGTCAGCTCATCCGCCCTGCCATGGATTAAGGAGGTATTTTAGTAGCCACGTACAAATGTCTCATTTACTCTGATGCAGCCATGAACACAGATGACAGTCATCATTCTTACCTTACTGATGAGAAACTGAGGCTCCCCTTTCCTTGAGGAGCTACTGTGGATCCAGGTGAGAAAGACTGGTCATCTCCTAGCCCTGCCTCTTCTGTATGTGTTAGTGCATACTTAGCTAAGTTAACGAAGTTACTCCTTCCCCATGGGGCTCAGTTTCCTAACTTGTTATTGGAGTCACCATATTGGCTATGATTTGTTAGTTGCCTGAATGTGATTTTCCTTACCAGGTGATGAACTTTGGGTGAGAAGACAACACCGACACCACGTGTCTCTATCACCCAGCACACCGCAGACAGCCGAGCTTGCAATGGACGCTTTTATTCCAATGGAAGCGTCCACCCCACTAACAGCGGTATCTTTACTGCTCTTCCTGCTGTCTTGGTATATTGTGCCTATTTGCTGTCTGCCCGCAAGTGGCAGAGTCACAGAGTCACACAGAAACAGTGCTGAACTTTTCTGGAAAAGAGGAATCATCATCTAAACACAGAGATGACTCGATGCGACGTGGAGTTTAGGGAACTAACTGGGTTTGCTTCATGGCTCTGGCATTTCCTAATGGAGTGATATTTAGAAAGTCCACTTAACCTCTCTGAGACTCCTTTTATGAAACAGGGAGTTAATATTTACCTTGCAAGGTGACTGTGAGAAGTAGATGAGAACATCTCTCTAAAGGTGCTTTGTAAAGAGTGAGGCACAACCCAGGTGTATCAGTGACTCGGGGCACCTTGGGCCACCGTCCAGGCTCTGAGGACACATGCCCCTGACCTCACCTGTGCATATTGAATTTTGCCTGAGGCTGAGCCCAGATCCTGCTCTGGTTACAGTCACTTCCCTCAGGGCAGGCTGTTCTCCTGTGGATGGTACACACTACCTCAGAGAGCCAAGCTGTCAGGGGCTTGTAAATAATGCATGGGGGACTCAGCCCCCTGTGCCAGCTGGAGAGAAGGAAGGATCTTTCTGCAGTTCAGTCAGCACAGTGGGTCTGAGGACAGCCTGGGCAGGGCTCTGACGCACAGCTGGAGTGGGCCAGGGGCCTTTATTCACTCATTGCTTTGCCTCCTACCCAGCCTCCTGAGGGAGAGGCTGGCTGTGCACCCCCAGGAGGAAACAATCCTCTTGCAGAAAAACCTGGTGTTTTAATATCTGCATTGGAAGCTTTCTCACGTTCACCTGAAGACCACATGGGGGAGCTTGGGAAATGTATGCAGAGGGGGAGGCAAAGTACCATGACCTCCTTCCCCAAATCTTTCCACTTCTCTCCCAGCTGCCCTCCCTCTGGCCGCTGCTTCCTGACACGGGCTTTCTTGCTCTCCACCCACTCCTGCCGATATCCACCGTGGGTTGCCCACGAGACTCTGGGCTAGAGGCTGCTCGGCGCTGGGGAAGGGCTTCTCCGCCCTCAGAGCAGCTTTTACAAGCTGCTTCTGCAGAGAAAGCCTTGGACTGCCCACCTGAACCTGGCAGGCATTTGTGGGTGCATGCCAAGGAAGAGGATGAGAAAACCGAGGGTCCTTTAGACCCCTGGGACCCTCCCGAGTGTTAACACGCTCTGGAGGAGCCCTTCAAGGCCTAGCTTCAGAAACTGAGAGGGTGCCTGAGCAAGCCTGTCTGCCCCTCCCGTGCATTCAGAAATGTCATGTGATCTCTGCCTCGGTGCCAGCTTCTCTTTCCTCTATGACTTCATGCAGTTGTTGACCCTGCAGGCAGGACTGGTCATAGTACCCAGCTGACAGCCTGGGGGTTTTCAGGAAGTCTGAGCCTGTGGCGTCCTGTGCAGACTGGCACTTGCCTTTCACACCGGACCGCTGGCTGACTCTGGCCCCTGCTCTAGTTCAGATCTGGATTGCTTGCCAAAGGCCCCTCTGGTGAGGGCTTGGTCCCCAGTCCATGGCACTCCTGGGAGCCAGTGGTATCTTTAAGACATTGGGCGTGTGCCCTGGAATGGGGATATGGAACCCTGCCTCTCCTCTTCCGTTTCCTCACTGCTGCAAGGCGAGCTGCTTTGCTCTACCATGCACTCTGGCTGTGATGTGCTACTCATCACTGCCCAAATCATGGATCAAGACCTTCAAAACTCAAAGCCAAGTAAACCTTTCCTCTTTGTAAGTTGGTTCATCCCGGGCATTTATTATAGTAACAAAAAGCTGATTAATGCATCCCTACACAATTTACTCAATTCTATCCAACGCTTCGCCTCTATAGTGCCTTTCACCTGGGGTACCTTCCCCATCCTATTTGCCTACTCAAACCCTTGACACATCCCTCCCTCCTTGTGCTGTCAGCCCTTCATTCAGGCCACTATTTCAGCATATGGAGAGCATTTTGGGGACCAGTACTGCTTCCTAGCTTTGTATCTGCAGAACCTAAGTGAGTGCAGTGTACTCATGGTATCCAATAAATGTTGGTTGAATGGAAGGCATAGTTTAAATTCCCTCTCATGATCCTGATATGGAAAAGTTTTAGATAACTTAATAGATTGAATATTAAGGTAATTGTAGAAGCAAAGTAAGTAATGTGTTCTTTTAAGATTTGCTTTTCCCATAACTCCTTGTTTAAGGTGAGGATTTTCTGACTCTAACCTATAACTTCATTAACCTAACAAAGTTACCAAGCCAGGGTGAATTTAGAATGTATATGGCCTATCTTTGGGTCTGTGACTTGTAAATAGGAACTGGAATTGTATTTACATATCAAAGATCACTAGGGATGAGATAATGGCTAAAAAGGATACAAAAAGGGAAATGCTGAACAAAGGGGGCTGATACTGACCAGACTGGTTTCTGGCGTTCCCACCCACTCGCGAGAAGAAATTTTATTATTTTATCCAAATTCTGTGTGTCTGTGTATTTCTTTCCAAGATTTCTGCAACAATCCAACATGTATGTAGTGAGCTATGTTATGCAAAACTATGTGCTCCTCTCTATGGACTCTTCTCCTTTTCTATGAATTCTCATGGCATCTACTGAGTGTTCAGAATCTGTAAATGATTCCACATATGCAGGCATCACAAACTTGATAAAGACACATCCCCAACAGTATTTCCTTCCTTTGTTCTCTCAGGAGTTACAGTGTTCTTCCCAATGCTTGAAGCCTAGGCCTTCTCTTGGACAATTCTCCCTCTTTTATCCTTAATTTCATCATTCCATCTCCTAAAAATCCTCAACCAGTCCTCTCATCTCCTACTTTTCATTTGTATTGTTGTTAAATCTTTATTCAGTGTTTAAATTGACAGATAATATTGTTTTATTATGTACATGACATTTTGAATAGTTGGTGTGTAGAATAGTTTAATCTAGGCATTGCCTTAGTTGCTATTTTTGTGGCAGGTGCACACAGCACCCATTCTGTTTACATTTCCCAAGAAAACAATCCATCATCTCCATGCACATTTCCACCCCATTGTTCAGATTCATCATGTCTCGCATGAAGTACTAGTTTCTTCCTAACCAGTCTTTCCACTTCTAGTCAGATTGCTCTCAAATTTGTTTTCCACACTGCCACCAGAGAAAATTTATGTATCATGTCATTAATCTTCTTTAAAATGTTACAAAGATGCCCTATCACCTACATCAGTGATTTTCAAGCTTTTATACACAACACCCTTTTTAAATAACAAATAAAACCTGCAGGTAATATAATCCACACTTAATTTTAAAACACCAATGTAGTGTTGCAATTAGAAAATAAAGGGAGATGTAATTTACTGTAAAGATGCATTTTAAAATATAAAGTATGAGCACCACTTGTATTATTTAGCTATCACTGTAACAAAATACTTGAGATTATTATTTTATAAAGAGAAAAGATTTATTTTGGCTCACAGTTTTGGATGTTCCATTCCGTGATCACTTGGTCCTATTGCTTTGGCTTCTATTGGGCATGCTAGACAGCAATAGAAGGGAGTGTGTGGCAGAGCCAGCTGCTCACCTCATGATCAGAAAGCAAAAGAAGCAAAAAGAAGGGGGATTGGGGTCCCATAATCCCATAATTCCATTCATACCTCCAATGACCTATGGACTCTCCGTAAGCCTCAACTCCTAGAGGCTACACCAACTCCCAAAAGCATCACCCTGAGGACCAGGCCTTTAACACACGGACCTTTGGGGACATTCAACATCCAAACTATAGCGCCACTGTATTCCAGTTGTACAACCACATCTCTTGTGCGGTCTCAGGAGTCTCACCACCCCTCTTATCTTGTGGGCTCCCGGTCATGCTTCCGGGCCTGAGTCCTTCTTCCAGGCTTACAAGCACTCCATGCTTTGCCTTCACAGTCCTGCTTAATTTGAGTTCTAATATATACTTAGCTATTATACTTTTTCTTATGAAATTTTGCAAACATATCAAAAGTAGAAAAACATAGTATAACCTTTCAACAATTACCAATTTGCCCCACTGGTTTTATATATTCTCTTTTTTCCTAATATTTTGAACATAACATTAAATATTTCTTTATGTATCTTGAAAATAAACAACATTTTATTATAATGTTGGAGGTTGTGGTGGAGGACAGGAGACCTGCAAGTACCATAAATCCAGGGATGGTGGAAAGGGACTCATTATGAATAACAAAGGACACTATCAACCCACTATCATGGGTTCTGGTTGCCAGGAACAGGGGACAAAGTCCCAATGTGTTTTCTTTCAAACACCTTGTATTCTCCTGCAGAGAACTAATTGTAATAATTGGGTTTTTTCTCCCCTCTTTTCTTTCTCCACTAGTATATTCATTAACCACCAAGGAAAGGACCTCCAAGGCTATTACCTTGGGCAGCTGGCAAGACTCCATATTGATTCCAGTGTGAAGACACCTTCCAGGTGAGACACATTCCCAAACCTTAATTTCCAAGAAAGTCACCAAAGCTAGCATGATAAATAGAAAAAAAAATGGATGACACAATCTTAATGATGCTAATAATGGTTAAAAAAATTACTACTTAATGGATAGAAAAAGGTTTAGAAGAAAATATACCAAATTATTAAAAATGTTGGGATTTTGTTTTCTTTAGCTTTTGTGTTGTTTTATTTTGGCACAAGGGATGGAACCTAGGACCTCAAGCATACCAAGCATAAGCTCTACCATTAAGCTACACCTTCAGCCCCAATAATGTTTTTGTTTTTTGTTTTTTTCTAAATGAGTGGTGAGATTATTAGTATTTTATATTTTATTTTTAATCTTTTTTCTCAGATTTTTTGCTAATGAACATATCTTAATTTTATGATGAGCAATAAAATTTTATTAAACCACCACAGGAATTTGAGAAACATCAGTTTAGAATTTCAAATTGATCAAATAACTTAAATTTACTGAGATTCTGTTTCTTTCATGGTAAATTTATAAATTTGGCCTAAATCGTTTTCACAAAAAAAAAAAAAAAAAAAAAAAAAAAGAAAACCCACAGTTACATTGACCTTATTTTCTAGTTTAGGGAGGCCGTAGAACTACAGTAAGTCTTGCCTTCAGAAGGACACTAATATTTTCCTTGAAGAGGAAGAATATTCTGGTTCTTGAAAAACACCGAAGGGAAAAGCAGAGGCAGGCTGGTAGTGCAGAGGGGTAGATCTTGGGGCCGTCACTGGGATCTGGTTCAGACACCAGAGCCATCAATGGCAGAAGTGACTGGACTGACAATAATAGACTCACAGGGCTCAATCTGATAGGATATGACACATTCAACAGACAGATAATGTTCTGATTGCCAGTGGGAGGCATATTTTGTAGGATAAGGGGACTCCCATCTACCAATTAGGGCACCCAGTTTACAAGGGCAAGTACCTGCTGAGCATGAAGAAGGAGAGGAGGGTGTTCCTGATGCTTCTCCAGCCTCTCCACAGCACAGCACAGCACAGCACCCCTCCCCCAGCCAGCATCTCTCCCAGTTCAGTATCCCACAAGTGTGCTCACATTCTTACTCCTGTTCTTTCTGAACTTCAAGGAGAGCCACTCCATTTCTGCTAACATATTCTTTATTAAAGAAGGCACATTGCAATCAAGTTTTTACCGAATTAGGCAAACATTATTGTGTGTGTGTGCACACGCGTGCTAGGAAATGAACCCATTGCTTCATGCATGCACCTGCTAGATCAAAGAGCCATACCACCTGCTCAATATCGTGTGTGTGTGTACGTGTGTGTGTGTGTGCTGGGAATAGAACCTGGTGCCTCATACATGCTAGGCAAGTGCACTATCACTGAGTTATGTTCGCCAATCTCCCAACATTATTATTATCCAGTTTTAGCCAGCTCTTTGTAAATGTGATATCATCACAGTGCTCTCATCGTGGGAGACCATGTCTTCTCACCTGACTGGAATAAGATGTTCCTAAATCTCAGACAACATTTAATATTTTTCCCATCTATACCAGTTCACCTCACTTATTTTATAGTTTGAAAATATACATATTTATTAGAATACTTAGAAAACAATGATAAAAAAAATTGAAAGTCACTGATAATGTCATAACCTAGAGATAGTCATCCAGAATCTTTTAATCCATGCCAAAATAGGGTAGGATGGTGTGAAACTTTTTTGTGTGATAACAGGTTTATTAAGATAATTCACATACTGTCTTAGTTACTTCTCTCTTGTTGCTGGAACAAAATACTCAACATCCAAAGTTAAAGGAGCAAAGGTTTATTTAGCTCACAGTTTGTAGAGGTTTCAGTTCACAATCAGCTGGCTCGAAGGCAGAGTGGCACATGGCAGAAGGGCGTTGCAGAAGAGAAAAGGTTCATTGCACACAGATGACAGCAAAAGCAACAAGGGACCTTAACAGCATCTTTCAGCTCCTTTTATCTTATCCCGACTACTTAGAGTGGGTAGCAGTCACACCCTTAATCCTAGAGTCCTTCAGCCTAGCATTGTACCACGAATCAATTGCAGCATCACACACTCTAGATCCAGCCACCTCTGAAAAAGCCCCACTTATGACTGCATGAAGCTTTGGGGAGGCATCTAGACATACCATACAAGTCATCCATTTAAAGTGCATAATTTAATTACAACCTTTGTTTAAATTTAGTAATATATTGTGGACTTTTTTCATCTCAAAAGTTGTAATTCTACCTCATCACTGTTAAAGGTGGCCTGGTAATTCTGTATGTCTACTATATTACTAATTCCACATCTTTTCTTTTTTAAAATATATTTTTATTTTTAATTGACATAATAATTGTATAAATTTATGGGAGATATTTCAATACAACTGTGTAATGTTCAGGTCAGGGTAATTGGCATATATCCATCACCTTAGATTGTTTTCTTTTTTTTAAATGAAGGTGTTAGTACTTTCTCTTATCATAAAAACAATTTGGTAAGAATTCTTAGGGCTAAATTTTTACTGATATCCCTAACTGCTAGAATTGCTGAGACAAAATGTATGCACATTTTTAAGGTCTTAATTTATACCACCAAAGTTGTACCAGAAAATTCCCATGTTGTATGAAAGTATTTTGCCATTATCTTGCTTGCTTTCATCTTTGGAGGAAGCCTATTGGAGTAGCAATACAGGAAGTTTATAATTGGTTTCAGGTCTGTCAAACACCACAATGCACCGCAGTGGTGGTTTCACTAAAAGTATTCACTAGGTCCTTGAAGGACCAAAACATGCACAGAAAAATTATGATGGTCAAGGCACCGGTACCAGGGAGATCTGGAGTACAGCACAGAGCAGGCATGGGCAGAGCAGGGGAGGTGTGACGCAGGTCACCTTTTGTGATCTATGACTGGGGAGGAGGAGGAACGCTGAAGGGAAACCCAAGGACTGAAATCCTTGCACTCTCTATCATAACTTTACTAGTGGTGTCCTTGGGGCAACAGGAGTCTTGTCATTCCTGTCTTGTTAGCCTCCTGGCCACTGCAGTTGCTGAGAAAATGGGCCACTTTTCCTCCAATGGGTGCTCAGCAAGGTATTTCTATCTTTCCTTAGACCACTCATAGACTTGGGCATTTCATCCAAGAGAAAAACTCCTGATCAACCTCAATTAGATCAACAGACGCTCATTCGATATATTTGTTTTCAAAGGCATTCAAAGACTGCTGAACTATGGTATAAGGAAACCACTTACCAAAGAGACTATTCACTGCCATTTTACAAGATCGGTAAGTCATGTCCAGTGCTCTTGACTCGCTGAGATGAACCTTGTCTAGGCCACAAGATGAGCTTGTCCCTTGGGCTTCCCCAGCTCAGGGAGTGTTTGGGGCTGGTCAAGTTGGAGGTAGGGAGATGTGTGGGTCTGGGGGCAGAAGGAGTGAGGGGGCTGCCCTAGGTGTCCTCCCTACCCCCTCATCCAGCTCCCTGCACCTGAGCCTGCAGGGATGGAAATGTGTGCATGTCCTTCTTAGGAAGCAGGCTCACGTGTGACTGCTCCTCACTGAGCCCCAGATCACACCATGAGGTGTGTGATTTGACACATCAGAGCATGTGGTTTAAAACTTCCATAGCCAGGCATGAGTGGGCATGCCTGTAATCCCAGCACTCTGGGAGGCAGAGGCAGGAGGATTACGAATCTGAGCCCAGCCTAAGGAAATGCATGACTTAGTGAGACCCTATCTCAAAATAAAAAGTAAAGAAGGTCTGGGGATGTAGCTCAGTGTGAAGGCTCTGGGGTCAATCCCCAGTACTGCAGTAAACAAACAAAATGAAAAACCTACACACCCCTTGTAGTATTTCTGTATTGGGACACATGTGAGGACACTGAGGGGGACAGAGGTAATCCTGGGAGTGTTGACATGACAACAGTTTAAACATTCCTCATGTTCCTGTAGTCACTGGTGCCTTGGATTTTAGTTCACTGAACGAATCACTTCACTGAGAGACTTTCTAAGTGAGCAAACCCCAACGTTCGGGGGCTCTGACACTGTGCCAGGTACATATTCAGTCCCATGGCAGCTGAGGTGGGTGCTGTTATTTTCCGTTTATACTCAGGGATACCAAGTTGCGGAGACCGGACAGCTAGTAGTAAGAGAAGCAGAATACAGACCCTGAGCACTGGATTCCTGGTGTGCTCTGCTTTTCCTGTCACAGCCAAGTGTCACCTACTAGTGATTTAGTGATTTTCTTTAAATTGAGTTTCTTTCTTTTTAAAGAGCAAGAAAAGAAACTGGTAGATAAGAATGGTGGGGTGGGAAGGATCTGCCCTTCTGTCTTCTGTCCAGAGCAAAGAGCTGCAGGACAGAACTGGGCAGGGAGGAGATGGCCAAGCCGGGACCCAGGAACAGCAAGAGTGGGAACTAGGCAGGGACAGGCAGATCTTGAGAGAGCTGAGCCAGGGACAAAGTGGCAGTAGGTGAAGCTGGGATGGCTGCCAGACTGACAAAGTAAGTAACTGATCGAGTAAGAAACTGCAAGTGGGGCAAAGCCAGGTCCTGGATGCCAGAGGTTTTTTTGCCTGAGAAGGGAGGAAGCAGAGGGACTGAGGAGGAGGCAGGGGATGAAAGGAAGGTCATTCAGAAAAGGAGGAGCTGGGAGGGAGGCCAGGGTGAGTGGGGCTTTGGCAAGGCTGTGGTAAAGGAAGTGGGTTAAGGGGTATAGGCTAGGCCTGAAAGGTGTGTGAGACCTGGCAGGACAGAAGCTGCTGGCCCGAGGATGGTGTTTGGGAAGGGTCCACAAGACTCCTGACCCTGCACAGCGGGAGGAGCCATTTATCCCTTCAAGATCACGGGGGTGTGTGAAATCTTTTGCAGGAGGGGATCCAGATCAGCTTCCAGAAGTGACAGCAAATAGGACCTACTTCACAATTCCTCTGCCAAGAGGAAATCTTGTTAGGCAGGCAGACAGACAGACAGACAATTCCTAATTCTTTGCAAATCTATAAGCCCAGTGAATATCCTAGCAGAGCAATTAAACATTAACCACTTGCTACTGTCCTAGCCTTCTGCTAGGCACACAGAAATTCCAGGCAATGACCTCAAGTGCAAGGAACTTACAGTCCAATTGGGAAGATGACACAGGACACATCAACCTCTTAAGAGAATGACAAGAGCCAGAGTGGAAAGATGGGGTCACCTGGGCCTTACAGCCAGGACTGCAGTGTGCACAGGGAAATGATGGGTCAGATTCACACCAGGGAGGAGGGGACAGCACAGCAGGAGCACTGTCACTAGGGACTGTGGATGGCTGCAGAAGACCCTGGCCTCCCCCTTAGGTGCCTGGGAAGCCGAATGCAGACAGTGCCACTGTCGGACCACAGTCCAGGAGGTGACCTAGTCAGCTGTGGAGCACAGGGGCCTGGAGAAGGCGGGTCTGCTAACGAGCACAGTCTTGGGATGTGGGGTGGAACACTATGGGGTGGACAGGTCTTGGGCATCACAGTGCTACGGGCCTGGAACATTCTAGCTGAGTGGGGTTGGGCAAGATGCTTGTCTTGTCCTTTTTGCTCCTCTGGAAAATGGAAATTTTAAGTCTACCTGTAAGATAGTTATTAGAATGTAAAATATCTGTCATGCACCTGGAACTGCGCTAAGCAACATAGGGAGTAGGAGTATACAGACTGCTGCCATCTGTTGTCATAGCCCTCAGGAAATGGGGATTGTTAAGACCTCCATTTTAGCAGAAAAGGAAACTGAGTTTTAGACTTTAAGAATCTACTCAAGCAAGGAGCCTGTAGGTTATCATCCAGATCAAACCCACATAGGTCCCTCCAAAGCCCTTGCTCTTAAGTGAACTGGGAAGGCTGCAGAGGAAACGTAATGAAGGCTTACATGGCAGCATATTTGTAGTGAGCAAGGGCAGTGGTAATAGAAAGTGCACAAGAGAAATTAAAGCTAACTCCACAGCCTCTCAATTCTGCAAGATTGTTGGGATCTCTGATAAAAATAACAGTTTTAGGCAGATACATTCAAGTTAGGACCTGTAGATAATTGAAAATATGACACTAGAAAGCGTAGGCTGAGTGATGAATGATGAGGAACAGCTTTGGGTATCCCCTACCCAGTGAGGTGGTAGCCTGATCTACTCCAAAGATGAGTTACATTGAAGTATTCATTGTATCTGCTGTTGAATCATTAACTGAATGTGTATTAGTTATCTAATGCTGAGTAACAAATCATTCAAAAACTTGGTGGCTTAAAACCTGAACGACGAGGTTTTCCTTGTGGGTTAGGAATTGCTCAGCTGGGCAGTTCTGCCTTGGGCTGTCCCTTGAGGCTTCAGGCAGATATCAGGGAGAGTGTTAGTCTCCGCTGACCTGCTGGGGTGGTCAATATCTCCAGGGCAGCTTACCCACAGAACAGTCAAGCTGGCTGTTGGCTGGGGACCTTGGGGCCTTTCTACATGCGGCTGCTCTGGTGTCCCGGTGCAAGCCTGGTGTGAGCAACTCAGGACCAAGGTAGAAACTGCAATGCATCTTATGACCTAGACTGCAAAGTCCTACACCATCCCTTCTGCTGTACCCTATTAGTCACATATGGCAGGGCTGAAGTCGTCCTGTTACGTGAGTAGCCTGTTCCTGGGAAGCTGGCAACCATAGCAGGATTCAGTTGTTCATCGAACACATGTTATGAACTAGACACTGTGTTTCCCGGGCATAAAGTGATCATGACAGACCAGATAGCTGCTTTCATGAAGCCAATATTCTGGTAGAGGATACAAAACATGCCCATGTTGAGCTATAAGAGAAATAAGCAGGATGATGAGTACTGCTAAGGGAAATTCCTTTAAACAGAGCAATCAAGGAAAATGTGTATATAATTTTAGCTGAGATCTGAAAAATACAAATGAGTCAGGTGGAAGTATTTCAGGCAAAAGGAGCGTAAAAAGTAACATCCTGAGAGCTGGAAAGGCCTTGGCATATTTGGGGAACCCACTGAGGCTCAGTGGGTAGGGTGAGGGCAGGAGAGAGAAGGTGGCTGGGTTTTATTGCAAGAGCAATGGGAAGATGCTGAAGGATTTCAAAGAGGAGTGACATACTTGGATTTTAAGATCACTCTGGCTGTTGAGACAGTTTAGAGAGGGACAGGGTAGAGGAATGCCGACCACTGAGGCAGCTATTTCATAGTTTACACCAGAGACGATGAGGACTTGGACCAGCAGGAAGATCAAGAGCAATAAATGGATTCCACAGATATTCTGGAGATGACATCAATTAGACTTGGCTATTTGATGTTGGGCACATTTTCATTCATTGATATTTATGCTTTCGGTAAACAATCTGAGAGCCTACTTAAATGCCAGTCAATATGCTAAGGTTTTGGCAATACCATGTGAAGCAAACATAGACACACAGTTTCTACAACAGAGATTCAATAGAACAGCATAGAAGTAGTCACAAATTCCACTTGCTATAAACGCTACAAAGAGGAATTTATGTGGTTCAGTGAGAGAATACAATAGATCGGAGAAGGTCTCTCTGAGGAAATGAAGCTGAGACCTGAAGGAGGAGCTAAAAGCTAACTAGACAAGGAGTTAGGGAAATAGCTTCGCAGAGTACAGTCTGTGCAAAGGCCTGTCGTGGGAAGGAGCATGATATGTCTGAAGAAGAGTAAGAGAAATGAAGCTGCAGCTCACCAGCAGAAAGTGTGGTAAGCATGCATGAAGCCCTAAGTTCATTCCTAAGTGCACGTGTCAAGTGTGCCAAAGGGTTCATGGAACAGGACACAGCTGAAGAGATAGTAAGACCAGAAAAGACCTCACAGGCAATGTTCAGGAGTTTGGCCTCTAGCCTGAGACTAAAAGATTTTAGGAGTGGGGAGGTGGTGATTAAAGTATCATTTTGAAAACAGGTCTCTTTGGAGAAGAAAGCAGGGCAGAGGGGGCAAAGAGTGGTCCAGGAGACAAATGGACTGGGTCAGTTCAGGCTTCTAACTTTGACTAAAGTGCCTGAAGAGTTTTTAAAAATCCAGACTGTGCCCCAACCAATGAGATCAGAATCTCCCCGTGGGTGTGACTGGGGTGTCCCAGGCATTGTTTTAAAAACTCCCACTGTGCAGCTGAGTTTGAGAACCAGTGATGCAGGCAACTGCTAATGGGTGGCAGCAGTAGAGACTGAGATGGACTTGAGAGATACACAAGTGACAACTGTTTCATAAACTGTCAGGTGGACAAAAGTTTGGTCTGCAAGAAGCCTTAACAGAGAAACCTACAAATTACAGCACTGACAGAGAAGATAGCAGGGATCAAACCCAATGCTTGTTCAGATCAAGAAACTGACTCCTAGAGTCTGTGGGGAAGGGCTTTTCACAGAACAACAGAAAGTTACGGTGTTTATCAAAGCATAGGTTTGTTTTAGTGCTGGGGACTAAACCCACTGCACATGCTAGGCAAATGGTCTACTAGAGCTACACCCCAACCTTGTGATTCGAGTTTTAAGAGCAGAAGATATGTTAGCAATGATCTGCATTTCATGTTCAGTTCTGAGATTTCTGATTTGGAAATTGCTAAAACATTAAAAATAGACTACGATAGGCAGTGGTTATTGCTTAAAAATTTCTTCCTAAGCACAACTTCTTCCTCAGCACATACCATTATTTATTTAGGGAGCACATGAGAATTGATCATGTGCAGGCTGTAGAGAAGGCTACATCCTGTAGCTGTAGAGAATTTACTGTCTAGGAAGATAAGGTAGCTCTTCAGAAGAAAGCTGCCCTTACATCATTCACCCTGGTACCAAATCATTTAAAGAAACCACTTTTCCAAAATGAAATATAGACTTTCAGGAGCTATGAGACCCTCAGTCTCTCTGACCCTTGATTTCCCCACCTGCAAAAAGGATAAAAATAGTACCCACCTAAAAGAATCGAGATATGTATATAAATAATATTGATAAAGTCTTCAAAAATGCCAGTTATTATTGATCAAGAATATATACCATTATAAATATATATATATATAAAAAATATTTTTTGGTACCGGGGATTGAACTTGGGTCCTTGTGCTTGCGCAGCAGGTGGCGAAACCACTGAGCTAAATCCCCAACCCTATAAATATATTTTTAAAAATACAATGGAATTGAATCTTCCACTGACATCAAGTTCAAAAACTAGTGCACAAAACTCATGTACAAAGTTATCTTTGAAAATCTCCAATAACATTTAAGAGTGATGATACTAAATAAAGTGTATAGAATGTAAATATGCTTGAATTCTCAGCAAGCTGGATAGTTTCTGGGGTTCTCAGTTCTTGATTTTAGTTTTCAATAACTTTCAGGGAGTCACCACAAATCCACACAAACAATAATTAATTTTGTTAAATGATGAGGGAATTGAATTATTTCACATATAATCTCCTATCTGTATTATTTCCATAGTACCTCCTATTTGTATAGCATTTTGAGGATTGACAAGATCCACTATACTCAGGACCTTTACTGTGAATCAGTTAGGTATGTGTATGATTTGTGTCTACTGTAAATCCTACAGCAAAGATCACTAAGAGCTGTTGAATAGAATTTCTCACGCTTTTATCCTTTTTCCCTAAAACACAATGTTCTTCTCAAGAAGGCCATCCTAATTGTTATTTGACTGCATAATCAGCCTTCAGAATTCATATGGTTACTAACTACAGACAGGATTGCACTTAAATTTTTAAAAAATCCTCCAAATGTAGTGTTTCTAAGCATATTTCCTGGGTTAATGAAATATTCTGTCTTTCTTAACATCAAGAAATGTTTACTTCTTTAAATGCTGTTGAGGTGTGAATGGAACACAGCAGTGAAAAGATTCGTGACACTGGAGCCTGAGAATTGTGGGGGAATCTGAGCTCCGTCTCCTATGTGAGTGAACTTGAACTAATGAATTAATCTCTGAGATGATGCTGTATCTGTGTATCATTGAGGGTTGCTGTAATTATTAGGGTTAATGTAAATAAAACACCTACATAGTGAAGTTCTGTTACAACACCATCATCAACTGTAGTCAACCCAAGTTGAACTCTTACCTTTAGATAAGGAGACTTGAGTGATTTCAGACTAGAAGTTACAAGATAGGAGAGAACTCCAGTTGGTCTAAATTTAGGGATGGCAATAATTGGATTTGATACAAAGATGATACAAAGTGGCTCATTGAAAATGTAGGGGTTGGGGTCTAGAATCAGGACAGAAAATGCAAATTTATGTGATTCATTTTGTTTTATTTACATTTTGGGATAATTCAATAAGGCCTTTTAATTGGAGACTGGACCAAAGAAACGACCTTTTAACTATGCCCTTTTCCTCATATTTTAAGTACATCCCTTTGCCCTAAATTTCATAAATTGTTATTGTGCATAATTGATCAAAGGACAGTATGTTAAAATTTAGGAGTAATGTTCTTAAATCATTGTTTTAAATTCCAGATGGAGATCAGAAATTGGCCACAATTTCATCAAATCCTGGGGCACTTAATTCATTGCCAGAGCTCTACTGTTGTGAAGAGAGGCAACTTTGGAAAAAATGCTTTTAAACTAAAAGAACCATGGCATTCAAACAAAATAACTGTTGGCATTCTTAGTGATTCTCAGAGAGATTAATAGTAGCAGAACTATTTAATTTCAGTATGTATACAGATAGCCCTAATCCTAAAATATTTACATGTTGTAAATTCTTTTCAGATTAAGTTGATCAGCCAAGAAAAGGGAATCAAGAGTCAGCCATAACAGCCGGGGTGATGGCACACGCCTGTAATCCCAGCACTCAGGAAGCTGAGGCAGGAGGATCACCATGAGTTCAAAGCTAGCATGGACTACATAGTGAGTTCAAGGCAAGCCTGAACTACATAGCAAGACCCTATCTCACAACAAAACAAAACAAACTTCAAGATAGAAATTTCATTTGATCAGCTATTTTCCTTCTAGGTATCTTCCAAAAAGTTAAAGACATCATCATAATGCGACACATACATATCTAGATTTATAGCAGCACAGTTCATAATAGCTAGATCCTGGAAGTGGACTATGTGTCCATGAACAGACAAATGGATAAAGAAAATATGGTATTTATACACAATGGAGTACTACTGTGCCAAGAAGGATAAACTTGAGTCATCTATAGAAAAATGGATGGACCTTGAGACTACAATGTTAAGTGAAATCACACAGACAAGCTTAAATATTAAAGAACAAAATAAAAAGATAGCTAATAGGAAGTAGGGAGAGAGATCTTTCTCAGATGGGAAGGGGATCAAGATGAGGGGGAGGTTATGAAAAAAGGAATGAAGATGTGTTCTGTATATGGACCAACTCCACACCAGGAAGGTGGACATTATGTACTACAAATGTACTAATAAAAATTTTTTAAAAGGGGAGGAGGGAGGGAGTGAATGAGGGAAGCAGAGAGGCGAAAGGAAATGATCTCAAAATGAAGAATGTCACATTCTGGCTGCCTACCTCCTGGCATACTAGTTGGCTTCTTATTCAACCACTCCAAAGTAAATCCTACCAGTTAATACTCTTCCTTCAAAAACAGAGTTTTATGTAGTTTTTTACTGCCTCAGTCTTTGACATGAAAGGTCAATCAGGTGCCATCAAGAGATTTGAAAAAAGTAACACAATATGAAGGTCAAAGACCAAAATAATAAGAAATGACTTCACATGAAACGGGGACCCATTGTGAGACATATTTGAGCTAAAATATCATTGATCCTCTCTGTTCGCTACAACCACCTATTGTAACTGGAGGGCTGCAGTGATATTTTGGGTCTCCTGCAAGCAGTGAGTTTATCTTTTCTCTCAGTGCACAATTACCTTAACAAGGGCCCCCAGGACCATTTGGAAAAGAAAGTAACAGTACAAACTTTTGCCAGTTACTAGTGTTTTTCCTGGAGGGGACTCACAATTTGTTTCCAAATCTTGGATCTTTGGATCTGAGATGAGTTTATAGACTGTATACAGTTGGATCATGGGGTTTTTTTTTTTAACCCTTTCTGCCAATCTCCACTTTATGATGGATGAATTTGTTCCATTTACACTTAAAATAACTGCTAGAAGGAATTCCTGCCATTTTACCATTTATGTCTACGTGTCTTATACCTTTCTTCTCATTTCCTCCTTTATTGCCTTCTTTTGTGTTGAGGTGATATTTTGTGGTGTTGTCTTAATTTTTTGGGGGGGGGGTATAAATTCTTTAGATAGTTTCTTAGTGGTTACTATGGGAATTACAAATTATTGTCCTAAATTTGTAACAATAGTTTTTTTTGTTGTTTTTTTGGTTTTGGTACCAGGGATCAAACTCAGGCCAGAATCACTAAGCTAAATCCCCAGCCCTGTAACAACAGTTTTAATACCAACTTAATTTTAATAATATACAACTATCATATACAGCTCAGTCTCTGCCCTTATATTGTCACTGCCAAAAACTACATTTTATACAAATGCCCAATAACAAATTTTTAATTGTTTTTTGCATCTGTTTGGAACTTAAAACATACAGGAAATTACAAACCCAAATACTTTACATTATACTAGTTCTTAATAGTTACCTTTTATGGAAATATTTATTTCTTCATCCTATCTATGGGGGAATGAAGGGATCTTTTCATGTTTTGGGCCACTCACATTTATTTTTCTGTGGACTGTGTGATATATATTGATTTATGATCATTTTTCTATTAGTTATCATTTTCTTATTTATTGCACTCTACATATAAAGAAAAAATACTCAAATTTTTAAAAAGTTTTTTCTCGGGCTAAAATTTATTTTTCTGTGCATTTGTTCCTTTTCATGACAATGTCACATAGCTTTATAATACTTTAACATCTGAGGCTACCTTTTCAAAACTGTCTTAAGAGATTCTCATATTCTCATGCAATTGGTATTGACCCATTAATGTCAAACATCTCCAGTAAACAGGCTCTCTCTGTACTGAAATACCTTGTTTATGGTCAGACAGTTCCCTTCTAATGAGTTTTAAAATTTCAACAATTTTTCTGTGTGCTCATTATGCCTCCTTAAACATGGTATGTATTGCATTTTGAGCTACAGTACTCTTCTTCCATATAAAATGTTTTGGTTGTTTGACTCAGTATTTCTTGAATCTGCTGCCAACCACATCAGCTCCATGCTTGTTTTGTTCAGTTGCTCTAACTCTCCAAATTCCTCCCAGCCTCTAGGACTTTGCACATTATATCAGGTCCTTCTGACTAAACATCCAGTGACACCTTCCCTGACCCTTTCCACATTTAAATTAGCTTTTCATTCACTGTACTGTGTACTTTTCAACTGCAGCATACATCATTCATAAATATGTGTCTAACATGCTGTTCCCACTGCAATGAATTTCAGCAAGACTGCTTATCACCACTGCATAGGCAACCCCTAGCAGAATCTGGCACATATATATGTACCTTGCTCCATCAAAATTTGTCATCTTAATAGTTATCACTATCTCAACCAATCAACAAATAGTTCACTTTTTAAAACAATTTTAATAATAGTTCATATAGCCAAGATAAGAATGTAGACTTTAAAATCTCATTCAATCTACTAGAATAAATAAATACATTATTATTTTTACATACGTCATTATAGATCTACAGTGGGTTTATAGGATTATCTGTACTGTTCTTTATATATTAAGTCCGTGAGTGTGCTCCTATTTTAGAATTTTATAAAAAATACAGATAGTGAAGATAAAAAATACTTAGATCCTTCCAGAGAATCTATTTTTATCTCTCTCTACATTACCCCCACATACTGCAGGGCAAAGTTCCTTCCTACATACTAGTAGTATTATTACCAGAAAAAAAGCAATACACAAAGCATACTAGAAATATTTGGTTCTTTTTAATCAGCTATTGATGGTATAATAAAATAAATTTAAGTGGCACCTAAACATATAATAGTTCAATGAATAATCTACAACATAATATGTTAAGCCTAACTGTCAAAATAACACCTTTTTTTGCTCAAGAAAGGAGAAAAGAAGGCATGATCAAAATTATGGCCAGCAATGTAAGTTCACTGGACACTTACAAGTGATTTTGTAGGTATACTGGCAGGCAGGCACAGTACGGAAAAATCCATTAGACTTAGAAATAATGGCATAATACAAATTTTAAAAAGGAATGATATACATTGCAATTCATGTCTGAAACTAAAGAAAAATATCCACCAAATATCACAATAGATCTTTTAATGACTAATTTTTTTAAACATTAAGGTTATTTAGGGGACCATCTTTTCTTTTTGAACATTTAATTAAATGTTTAATGTATTAAATAATTTATAGACAGACTAAGTTCTGTGTTCTGTAAAATCAAAGGACCCATGAGTATATCCCCTCCCCCGGCCAAAGCTCAATTTTTCAATGGTCTTAGCAGAAAATAAACAATTCCCAATTTAAACAGAATTTATAGCATTACATAAGTTTACAGAACCCCTATATTTTCATCACTTTTTCTAACAGCAAAGATTACAATGAAAATTGAATGATCAGAATGTAAAAATATTTGTGCAAAACTGCATTAAGTTTTCTTACCATCTAATAGAGGTAAAACCTAAGACACACAATGATAATAATGAAGAAAAACTGCATCAAAAATAACTACTTGAGGTTTCAAACAACAGAGATGAAGCTATCACTAAACACTGAAAGAAAACATGGCACCATGAGTAGCAGGAGCAAGAACTAACTGGGTGGTGATGCCCGCTGAGGAGCTGCCTCCGCACCAGCCATCCAGCTCACACCTGGAACACCTGCAGGGCTTGCACACAACTCACTGTCTTTATTTCTGAACTTGCAGGTCATAAAGAAATATTTAAGAAAGTCTTTTCCCTCCCTCCCATGGAGTGTTTCTTGTCTTACTGGTAATCCTTAAAAGAGCTGAATCATGGATTCTCTGGATTTACCTACACCAATCCATTTAACTGGAAAAAAGAGAGAAGAATGGCATCAGTTCACTGATAAGGATCAGCCTTTAGAGTTAACAGGTAGCCTCCCCATTTAACCTTTCCCTGCTGTGCCCTTTTGTGCTGTTTGATTTTAACCTTGTGTCCTTAGGAATTACCTACTGCACAAGGCTAGGGGAATTTCTAATCATCTACACAACATGGGTTTAGATTATTTGCAGAATCACTGGCTTCCATAAGTACTTGTTAGAATAACCCTTTATGGATTTCACAGAGGTCATTGTCAGATTCAGGGCTACCTGTATGTCAGAAACTGTTGACTAAGAACAGTAAACAAATATATTTACTAAAACCGACATCAGCCTGGGGCTGCTAGCAATTTGGAAAACAAGTTATATCTAAAGTGAACCATAAATACACAATGAACAGCAATACAAAAATCAATGAATTTATATAGAAGGTACCTCCTACCTACTTTACATTTTCTAGGAAATCTAATTTCCCTTAATTCAAATAAAAATAAGTCTTATCCATTCTTTATTCTTGTTTTATACATTTTCTAATGAGATTTCCACCTTTCTACATTTATTACTTCCTAATGTCTATTCAAGAAACTCCTCTAACTCTCAAAGGTGGTTTAATCCAACTTAAAAAAAATCCCTATGAATCATTTTTGGTATAAAATAAAAAATCTGTTATTAGGAGAGAAAAAGGAGTAAGAATGAATCTCACAGGGTAAAAACAGATGAACAAGAGAATTAAAGACGATCAGGAAGGGGAAGAGGTAAGCTACTGACTTTTAAACAAAGACACAGATTTCATTTACTCTAAGAAAAAATAATTTTATATCTCCGCAGGCATTTTACACAGATCATGAGCACTCTGCAAAGCAATAATGATATTTTAAAACTTCTATTTCAAGGGCAGACCAGTAAGCTAAAAACACAAGAAGATACCTGTTTGTAAAGCTTTATGTTTACCTGGAATTTGAAGTTCATCTTCAATGAATCGAACATAATTTTGTGCATTAACAGGCAGCTCTTTAAACGTCCTTGCATTTGATATGTCTGTGTTCCATCCTGCGAGTGTCTTATATTGAACTTCAACTTTATTTAAGACTTCTTGGTTTGCTAAAAGTTAGAGAGTGTATTTGTTCATGGTACATATTGCCTATTGTCAAAACAACTTCTGGGCATAGCACAGGTTCACAAACACTTAGCAAAACCCTGGAACCAGATGTTTCAGAATTCTGAATTTTTGAGGTTTAGAAAGGTAAAACAGTACATATCTGGACTACTACTCTATAATCAAACATTTCTTTTTTGTATTTTTTGAGACAGGGTCTTGCTGTGCAGTCCAGGCTGACCTCGAACCCAAGGTTATCCTCCTGCCCCACCATGCCTAGCAATGACCAAACATTCCTGAAACAGCACGATTATTCACTGTAAATGGGTAACGATCATGTAGCTCTAGCAGCAGTTCAGGTCAGGCTTTACTTTCAAATGAGGTTTGGTGCCAAACTTAGAGGTTTCCATTTTTAGAGCATTTTGACTTTTTATGTATTAATTATAGATCCGTGTAATGACAGCAACCTCACAGAAAGAAGGCCTGGAAATCTGGTATCTTCTGACAAATCTGTGGCTTTAACTGAATTTTTCACTACTCTACCTAACCATTCTCCCTGTAGCCCCTACTGAAAATGAGACTTGCACTGTAAGTGAGAAGACAGTAACGGTGGATGCCACGGGGCGCTGTGTGATGCCCCTCTGCAAGGCCAAGCGCCTGGCGCACAATCCCCAGGACTCCCCCTCCAATGAAGGCAGCTACTGCCCTGCATCCACTGGCTCATCCACTGGCTCGGCCATAGGGGAACGCAGGGGCCCCGGTCACTGTCCTCCATTTGGGACAACTCAAGGACCATTCTACTTCCAGAGTTCCCCAAGAGACCAGTTCAGGACTTCAAGGTGGACCCCTCCTCCGCCTGTCTTTTTATATTTTAATTATAAGGTGACAACTGTTCAAACTATAAGAACCAGAGGCCAGGAAGAAAAACATAGCCATCACCCAAATGGAGGACTTTAGTGTTTCCTCCAAGCCTGCATTGCTATTTCCTGTAACTTCACTAATATAAAATCAGACTGTTTGTTCCCTGTACTTCTCTAGGGTTCACTGAGTCATGAGACAGACAAGGCTCACAGTGTATCAGATTAGACTGGTGAGAATTTCAAAGGTTAAAAATGTCTACTGTGGAGAATGCTTGGCATATACATAGGAGTCCATAAACAGTGGTCTAAGGGTACTTTTAGTGCCATCCCACATGCCACTGCCTGCCACAAACCCTCTGCCACATCAGCTGCCACATCCACACACAGCCCACTCTCCTGACCATCCCCTACACTCAATCAAAAATATCTGCCAAAATGTCTCCAAAATACAAGACTCCTTTTAAAAGCAAGCACAATGTCATCACTTTCCTCAAATCAGCATATAACCAACAAAAATTATGAGGTGAGCTAGGCATGTTGGTGGAAACCTGTAATCAGAAGGTCAAGAGCTTCATGGGCAATTTAGCAAGACCTTGCCATACTGAAGAGTCTTGTTTAATTCACTCAGCCAATCTTTGTCTTTTACATGGATAATTAAGACCATTTACATTCAAAGTTATTAGTGAAAAGTACAGATTTGTGCCTGTCATTTTTCTTCTAGGCATTTTTGTTCCTATTTCTCATTTGTGTTTTTACCTTTCTAGTGGCATTTACATTTGCACTTGCTATCAGGATGGTGGTTTTCTGCTTCTGGGTGTAGGGCTCCTTTAAGCTCCTTTCCCTTTTCTTCTTCCTTTATATACTGGAGATGGGACCACCAGGGCCTCCCATGTGCTAGGCAGGTGCTACATCCCCAGCCCTTTCTTTTTAAATTTTATTTTAAGACAAGGTCTCACTAAATTGCCCAGGCTGGCCATGAACTTGTGATCTTCCTGCTTCAGCCTCCTCAATGGCTGGGATTACAGGTGTGCACCATCATGTCCATTCTTAAGTATCTTTCCTAAGGCTGGTCTAATGGTCATGAATTCCTTATTTTTGCTTATCTTAGGAGGTCTTTATTATTCCATCAATTCTGAAAGGTAGCCTGGTTGGATACAATAATCTTGCTTGGCAGTCATTTTCTTTCAGGTTTCGAAATGTATCACTCCATGCCCTCGGGGCCTATAGGGCTCCTGTGGAGGTATGTGCTACTGGTCCAGTGGGGTTGCTCTTAAACGTGACTTTGTGCTTTTCTCTTCCAGAGTTTAAAATCCTTTCTTTGTCCTGTACTTTCTACATTTTGACTATAATGTGTCATGGTCACCATCTTTTCTGGTCAGGTCTACTGGCCTCCTGTACCACAATGTTCATGTATTTCATGAGATGAGGGACATTTTCTATGTCCTTAAACTACTGATAATGTGGATGTTTGATCTTTTGGTGGTGTCTCAAACATCTTGTATGCTCTCTCCATTTTTATTTTTTCCCCTTCTATCTGAATATATTTTGAAAGACCCATCTTCAAATTGATATTCTTATTTCCACCTGATCTAGCCTATTATGGTACTTCAACTAAACTTTTTATCTGATTTATTAGGTTCATTTCCAAGATTTGATTGGCTTTTTTCAAAATCTTCTGAACTTCTCATTCACATCTTAAATTGTCTTCCTAATGTACTTTACTATCTGTATTTTCTTGGATCTCATCAAGCTTTAAAAAAAAATCCTTCTGAGGGATTTCACCCACTTAAAATATCTTTGGAATCTGTTCTAGAGTTATGATCTTTGGAAATGTCATGTTTTTTCATATTTCTTGTGTTCCTATGTTGAGATGTGAATCCGGCTCTGAGCAGTGAGTTTAGGGAGAGTACATCCTGTGCATTTCTTCTACAATGAGAGTGGTGGCCCCTATCAGGTCCTAGGGATCTCCTCAGGCAATGCTGATATTAGCTCCGTGACTTCAAGGGATCTCTGGTACTGGCTGCACAAGCACCCACCCTCTGATGAGCCACTGGTACAGGTCCACATGCTTCAGGGGGAAGGGCTAAGGTAGGAATCACAGCACCTGCTGTGACGCTCACACCCAGTAACCAGTAGTGCTCGATCAGACAAAGTGAGGAGGCGAATGATGCCAGGGACTTGCACAGGGTGCTGGAAGCCAAAGTGTTACTCCTGTGGGCATGCTCACTCAGGAGTGAGACCCCAGAGCCAGAGCTCAGACCCCTAGAGATGTGCATGCCTGCGGATAGGGCAGTGGAGATTTTACTTCCCGACTCCTCTAGTTGTGATGCCTGCCTGGGATTGAGCAGGAGTTGGCTACAGCTCGAGATGGGAGACTCAGCCACAGCCCACACCAGGCAGTTTCTCTCCAGACCTTTGTAGGCTGTAGTGCCAGCCCAAACCATGGGGCACTGCTCAAGACTGCCCAGCACTCCTCTGCGGGCGGCCTTGTTAGCAATGGAAGCCTGTGTGCCACACTGGAAGAGAGGTGGTGGGAACCACACAGGCAACCACCCCCAGTTCCTACACCCATGCAAGGTCACATACAACTGGCCATGCCTCCAGTCTCAGAGGGCAGGTGCCTCAATCCCCCGGTTACAGCAGACAGCACCCTCCACTCCCCTGTGAGGCAGGAGATTAGAACATGGCAAAGTAGCTGGGCAATTGGGCATGACTCGTCGATGGCAGAGACTTGTTAACCACGGGTGCAGAGCAGCTCCCAAGCCCTGATACCAATCAGGGAATGATAGCCATCTTCAATTCTGCTGGCACAAGACCTTCATGAGATTGAGATAAGCCCTGCACCTGATACCAATCTTCTGGTGGGTTTTGGAGGGGACAGCTTAGATCTGATGTCAGAGAGAGATATAAAAGAGGGTGTTCATTTAGTTCGTGGCTGCTGCCAAGAGCCTTTTCACTGGCCCGCTGTGCACTCTGCAGGGTGTACTTCTTTTCCTACTCTAATGGGCCTACACCCACTCTGCAAAGCGCCTCTTTTAAGAGCACTTTTTCTTCCTGGGCACCTCTTTTTCTTCTATCCTAAATGAATGTTAAACTTTCACATTCATCAACTGTTCCATCCAAGTCTTTGAATGGGATAGTAAGAGCCTGGAAAGGATCACTGGTCACTACAACACCCAGGCACACCTCCGTGTTGCAAACACCCATTCCCCCGGGCAGATTTTGTGCTGGCCACTCCACTAAGCCCACTCTGGGCTGTGCGGCAGCCACCCACTAAGCCTGCCAGTGGAATGTCTCTGGGGCCCCAGTGCTGGGGTTCACAGGGGGCTCTGCCTCCTATACAGAGGGGGGCCAGCACGTCCTTCTGAAGAAGACTCCTGGCTTCAGCACCCTGGGAGATAAAATGAATTCCTTTTCCAAAACCAGATTTCAGGCCTCTTATCTACTTAAACTATAAGTCTTCAGAGGCCGAGAAACTTTCCAAAGCTAAGACCGCCGATATCTCCACTCACATGGTACAACTCCTTCACCTTTATCTCTGCAGAGAGAAGACTGCAGAAGTAATGGGATTTTGTTTTTAATTTTAAAAGAATTTTTATTAAACATATTTGCAGTACATAATGATTATACTCACTGTGGGAAATTGGTGCATGTCACATCTCAATTCTTTTCCCACCCCCCCTTCATCTCCATCCCCTGCCCTGACATTTTATTCCTGTTGCTATGCAGCTATCCCAGGTTTCTGGATTTTACAAAGTTTCCATCTTTCTACGGTTGAATTCTAGCATTCTCTGCAGTCACTCATCTCAATATGCAGCTATACACCTGTGGGTTTGCTTCTTCCTCATGGAGGAGCAGGTGAGTGCTGGGTGACTACGTAGCTACTTGTTCACCTCCCAAATGTAACTCAGCTGAGAACGTTTTATGCAGTGACATCACAGTTCAACTTTTCCCTCTGCCTCTTCCTCTTCTCCTCACAGATGTTGCTCAGATTATACATAAACCAGGGTCCAAATCTCTATAGCAGAATCTGTTTCCTAGGGAACTCAATCTAAGACAGTGGGAACTTAAATGAAGACAGCTAGGTCAGGAGTGAGAAGGCAGCTCTACAAAGGAGAGTGGGAATTGGATCACAGATCACTGGTGGTAGGTAGAGTATGGACAACCTCCAATATGCTGGAGTAGTACTAAAACTTTCATGGGAGATGACCTGGTGCCACTATCTGAGGCACTGGAAAATGAGCACAGTGGATGGAGGTGGCTCTTGAAGAATGTCATTCACGAATTGGAGAAAGACAATGAAAAGCTGAGGGTCTCTGCTCAGTTTCAATCAAAATATGAAAGATCAAGGGCCTCTGTGGCGTCATCTAGACAGAATCTCATCTATAGCAAAAAACAGAAGGATCAGGCTCCAGCCTCAGTGCACATACAGCAAGTTCTAGAGAGTCTTGGATTCTCAAATCCAGCAAATCTGCTACGAGAAGAGTGGAACCCTGAGACTATGGATGGGACATTTGGGTTGGTATAGTTGAAATTCTGGGGCCTGCAGAATGTCCCACTACTTGCTTAGGTTAAGGCTTGCCCTTGTTTGAAGATGATGCAGAAGCCTCTGCCTTGCAAGGCAGCAGGTGCCTACCTCAGATCTCCCTTTCCCTTCCTTCCTCCTTCCTGTCCTTTCCTTCCTTCCTCATCAGCACACAGTATCTAGGTCAAGCCCCAACATAACCTAGATCAGTGGTGGTGAACCTATAGCACACCTGTTGTTTCTCTTCAAGACAAAAGATGTTAATGTATGAGTTGTTTTTTCTAAACTAAAACCCCAGTATTAAGGTTTAATTGTACTTTGTGATAAGTGGGTTTTGAGTTAGAATTTGGGCACTTGTCTCTAAAAGGTTCACTATCATTGACCTAGATGTGGTTGTCAGCTTTCCATTGCTGGGACAAAATACCTGCCACCTGCAATTTAAGATCAAGAGAGGTTTACTTGGCTTATGGCTTCAGAAGTTTCAGTCCATGGTTGGCTGGCTCCAAGGCAGAAGCATCATGGCTGAAGGATATGCTGCAAGGAAGCCATTCACCTAATTGTGGCCAGAAGCAGACAGCAGATCAAGAACCTGAGAGGAAGGGGCCAGGGACCAGATACAGTCTCCGAGGTCATGCCATACGCCCCACTTCCTCCAACTATGCCTTATATTCTAATAGCCCATTCGGCTACGAAACCACTAATGAGGAACTCATTGATAAGGCTAATGCCCTGACAATCTCATCACTTCTCCAAGAGTCTCTGGATCCAGTCAAGCTAACAATCAAGATTAACTAGCACAAGGACCAAGGAAGCACTTGGGAGGAAAGGGGCTATGTTCCAAGAGATCTGTAGGACAGAGCCAGCATTTGCCAACAGGCACCACGGCAGTATGTAAAGAACTGGACTCAGGTTGAAGGTGCTGGATCAAGGGGAACAGAAGTCATGGAACATCAAGTTGAACAGAGAATATGTGGTCTCAGATACTCTCCCATGATGCTGACACAAAGATGACACAAACATTCCAGGAGGGCCAGGGATTTAGCTCAGTGGTGCCGTGCCTGCCTCAAAAAGACAAGTTCGGTCCCTAGTGCCTAGAGAAAAAAACATTCTAGGGATGCTCTGAGAAGCTTGAAAGTGATGAACCAGACTGGGCAGACATGTCAGAATTGCTGAGGTACTTGGCACAAAAAGGAATCAAGAGACTCATCGGGCCTTCCTTTTCAGCTATGATAAAAACCATGGCTCCAGACTAAGTCTCAATATATGACAACTTCTTCCAGACAATGGGACAACAGGCAGAATAAATGCTATCATTCTTGAAAGAAAGAAAACTCACAAGCAAATACTGAAAACAGTTAATTCTTTAACTTTGGACAATTTCCTGATCACAGTTCAGGATACTGGAGTCAGCAGAAAATGACAGTTCCACTGATCTGGAGGGTAGATACCTTTCAGGAAACAATAAGCAACTAGAATCAGCAAGATTAGGCATCAGAGAGAGGAAGCTATAGAGACAGCAGTTCTTACCAGACAACCATGAAAGAATTCATGGCTTAGCCAAATCAGTAGAAATTATCTAGTCTGAAGAACAAAGAGAAACAGGGAAGGAAAACGGACAGCAACAGAGATGGCAGGATTTCCACAGAATAAAAGCCAGGTGGCACCACTTCTTCAGAGACAAGGTGGGCTTGACTATCATTATGAGCAGCAGTCAGGGTGACAACTGAGAGGACCTGGCCATCAGAGACATAAAGAATTGGCCGGAAGACAGGTAGTCAACAGGGTAGTAGTCTACGAATGAAACTTTAGTTTTAAAATGAAGTCAAAGAGTTTTTCAAGGGGCTGAAAACAGTGCCCCAAGAAAAAATAATGACCACTCAACTAATTTCTGAACCTGAGTCTGTTTTCATATCTGTATCTCAGGGTCGGTAAGGCTAAATTCCCAGGAGACCAGCCTGCAACACAACACCATGTGCATATTCCCCACCATACACTGAGGAAAGGAGAACACCCAGTCATTCTGAGGACTGCTAGACACAAAGCTCAAGGTGATATTGATACCATGGCACCCACAGGAGGGCCAGCTTAGAAATGGAATTTTGGTCCAACGCCAACTCACTATGAGCTCCTTGGGTCCAAAGATTCACCCATTGTTCTTTTCTCCATCACACAATATAAAATTGGAACAAGTATACTTGTTAGGTGTCAGAACTTTCATATCGGTCTCTTGGCTTATTATAGTGGAAAAAGGGAACCTTTTGAAAAATGCATTTCACGAGCTAAACAACCTAGACCGGCAGATCTGCTAGGTGAGTGTAAGGGGGATCTAGAATCAGTTAATAAAGGAGTGAGAGAATCAGTACCAACTGGGGGGCCCAGATCCACATCCTCAGGGGTCTGAGTCTGCTTATCACGTGCTTTGCCCAGGCTTGGCTAATTTGTACCTCCATTTAGTAAGGCTAGGAAATACCAGGAGAAGCCCAAGTACCATCCAGGTGCCAAACGTCCTTCCCTACACACACTGTGTAGCAACAGCCTTATGTGCTTTTAATGATCAATCACCCTTTCTAGTGACTCCTTTCCTTGTCTGCAGGCTTTTGGCACATGAAATCTAACATGACAGGGCACAGCCTTGGGTTAAAGTTTAATGGAACTCTTGTTTCTATTTTCCCACTGTGACAGCCCAGAAGGGGATAATACATACCACTAACCCTTCTCTTGTACATTTCCTTAAGAAAGACACTCAACAGAAATCTGCAGGAACTACTATACTTGTACATAGGGGTCAACTTATTTTACAGTGTAAGTAAATCCACAAATCCAACCAGCACAAGAGTAGAGTGTATCATGATATACAGAACTCTGCCTTTAGGACAGGCACTGCCCTCACAGTAGAAGGGAATACTTCATGTCAGTGACTTAACACAGTCCCTTACCCAGGAACTGCCCTTGGACAAAGGGAGCTACTTCACCCAAGCAACTGCACATACTATCTGGTTACTGGGAGTACAAAGTTCTGGACACCCAGCTCAATTTAGGATAACTCAAAGGGCCACCCTAGCTCTCTGGCTCCTCTTGGGATTGGCCACACTGCATTTTAACTAGAGACATTGCTGAAAACATCCTCCAATACACTTCTTGAATGCAAGTTTCCACCTCAGACTATTTTGGAGGAAACTGACCCAAATCAGCTCAGTCAGCTTTAAAAAGAAGCCATAAAATTGGCAAGTTTTATCTATTTTGTTAGTCTTTAATGGTTCAATTAAAGGAATCTGCTGTTTTGTTGTTCTCTATGGCAGATCTCGCCACATGTCATGAAGTTTGATTAGACTATTCTTTTGAGTGTTTGAGTTTACAACTCTTGAGGTAGCTCTGTAAGGAGATTTAGCAACCAGGACATAACATATATTGGAACAACTGACTTTGCAACTGAATAATATCCTACAAATAAACAGATTCTTTTCTGTTGCCCCACTGTTCCCAAGAGAGGCACCCTTCTATGGAAGTTATGATCCTCTTGCCTTAGCCTCCCAAGCACCATGCTGGGCTTGTGTGTGGAAGTTACTTGCAAAACAGAGAAGATGAGGGCTGGGGATTTAGCTCAGTAGTTTCACTGCCTGCTGCGCAAGTGCAAGGACCTGAGTTCAATCCCCAGTACCAAAAAAAAAAAACAAAGAAGATGAATCTCAGGAGCAGTATGGCCTAGAGATGCCATGTTTCTCTTATTTTGAGTTTGAACATGCTTGTGACTGGCACCCAAATGAAGAGAAGCTATGAGCCAAATGCTAACAAGTGAACATATCTACACTAGTTCCTAAAGGGCCTATCCAGCTTGTGTCTCTATCGCACATTATACAGAAGACAGAAGAGCCCCGAGACTGCCCCACCTCATACATCTTCTAACAGTCCTTAACACAGCCTTAGAGGGTTACCTGGGAAATGAGGTATGATTTCACCATCTAACTTGTAGGCAACACCAACTTTGATTTCTGTAAACATGTCCAAAATATCCAGCTTGGTAAGCGCCAACCTAATTTTGGAAGAAAAGGCAATGTTATAAACAAACTCTTAAAAGTTGTAATATTTAAGTTGACTGATGAGGACTAAAGGAAAATTCATGCAAAGCTCAAAGTTCCAAAGCAATTCTGAAAACTGTTAGGAATGTATTTTAAAGTGTGCCACACATAAAACAATAGAGAACAATAAATTGATATATATATTCTTCCTAATATGCCACTGAGTTATTTCTAGTGATCACAGCAGACTTTCACCAGTACTGGCGGCCCTGTACACTCTCACTCAGCTCTGCTGACTAATCAACATGCACTGGTGGCGGGGTTGCCTGGAGTTAGGGAGCACTCTGTGGCCACGGGACACAGCACAGTGCACTGCTGCACACGGACGATCACACACATGCCATCAGCCCTCAAGTTTCCACTCTGGTTACATCACCTCCACCCTTCTGGTCAGAAACTGCCAAAGAGTAAGGAAACCATATCAAAGGGCTCTTCATGGTACATCAAAATTTCCTGATAAACTGATTGGATAACAGGTTTTTAAGGGGAAATCTGTGGAAATTAGATAAAACACTAGGTTTGGGATTCTTGTTCACAAATTATTCTTTTATCCCTTATTCTGTTATTTTCTAGGAACACACACTAATATGGACATAGACACATTCTGTATATATGCTGATGACTTTTAATGAGCATCTTCAGTGAGCCAGACTGTGCTATACGTTCTCACTGCACTTCTCACCTAATCTTTAAACACCACGACATATGCAACAATACTATTAGTGATTCTACAGATGATAAAACTGAGGTGCTACCAGTCACACAAGCATAATGAATTGATCCGAGATTTGAATCCAAGATGTAAGACTTTAAACCTATGCACTAAATCACTATGCTGTATTCCCGCCCTTCTCCATACACACATTGTACTTATTCTATCTACTTAGCTACCTATCCATTCATCTCCCTCCCTGCCTACTTATCTTGCCTCTTTTTTTTATACATGAGACTACCATAATTCATTTCCACCAACCTTGGACATGTAGGCACCTCTTTTGTATTCCCTCCCCCTTTATCTTGTTCCACTTCTACCTAGAACTACAATTTCCATTTGAAGACTAAAGAACTATATTTTTCTATTAGAATGAAATATTTCTATTTTTCTACTCCAAATTTGCATTCCACAAAATCAAACCTGTGGTCATAAATTGTCCTATTGCTTCCTGAAATAAATGTTTCTACAGAATACTCACGCAGTAAATCCATTAATCATATGAGCATATCGGAGTAAAACAAGATCCAGCCAGCCACATCTCCTTTTCCTTCCAGTAGTTACACCATATTCTCTACCCCTTGTTTGTAATAATTCTCCAATTTCCTGGAGAACAAAAAATAGATCTTATGAATTAGACTAGCAATGATGTAAATTTAATGGAATTTTACTAGAAATCATATCAGGCAAAGTCTCTTTGCAATAAACATCTTCCAGAAAATAAGTGGAAAGCAGAATTCCACAGATGACAAATTTTACCTAAGAAAGGCATTATTTGGAATAGATCCACTTTTGGTTTCATTTTTTACCCCCATATTTTTTACAATGTTGTACACAGCCAACTTCCTAACATGTAAGCTGACACAAAAACAACTAAGTACTATCTATTAAAAACAAGTCATTAATAAGTATTTATTAATACACACAAATCCAGACAATTGTTCCAAGAACAACTACAATTTGATGTCTTCCCTGAAAACAGTAAGGCCAACACATCTAATGATCCTTGCAAAAAAGGTACAAGGGATAAGAATTCAGTGGTGGTGGTGGAGGGGGGGGAGACACATGAATTTTTCTTTCTACATTTTTGGAATTGGATTTACTAAGAAATAGGCTTACATTGTCTTGCTCTGTGGGAAAGGCACCAATACCAACTCTAGTAGTATACGCTTTCACAACTCCATATACTTCTCCAACATTTTGAGGGGGCATACCCAAACCTGTACAGACACCCCCAACAGTACAGTTCGAAGAGGTTACAAAAGGGTAAGTCCCTAAAAACAGAAAAAATTATTACGATATGCTCAGGTCCATATGCACTTTAAAACAGAATTACCATTAAAATTCTGCATTTAAGTATTTTCTTATTATCTGATAAACTTCACAACTGTCACTGCCCTCTTTCAAAGCCTCAATACTTTATGCTTGGTTCTGTGTCTGTAATGAGATTAAAATATAGGCATGAGAAGAAACCTATCTACATATTTTGGGTCTCTTGTTAGTTTAAAACAAATGACTCCATGATATGAGCATTTGAGGTGCATCAGCAATCTGGACAGACAGCAGCACACTAATAATTTGCTTTGTGGTGTTCAGTATTTCCCTAGCTTTTGATCTCCATGCAGGGAATAACCCCCAAATTACAAGTTATTAAGAGTGTTTTCTTTCTCCCTTTCATTCGTAACTATCCACTCTGCTAATTAGACACTGCTTTCTTTCCAGATTGGGTAGGCATATTATGGCATCAGAATACAGTATATATACACTATATAAAAAATGCACTCTCATTAATTAGCTGGAACCAGACTCAGTGAAATGTTCACAAGCAGACATTAAGCATGAGAGATTCTGCTTAGCGGCAACCACCAACAGATGAACAGGTCAGGTCAGTAGTTTGAAGAAGTTAAGCATTAACCTTTTGAAGATGGAAGAAATACTCTGAATTAACCCAGAAAGTCTCATGCCCAGGTGTAAACAGGTTTTCATAGCCTTAGCATATGTATGTTTAACAATAATGTAGATATTTTTAAAGGTTGATTTAAAGATGAAAATTCATCTAATAGAATTCATCTTCTCATCTTGTAGTTCCAGCCAAATGAGGTGTGTGATTAAATCATGAACTAAATAACAAAATCTGTAACTTATAGGACCCCTCCCAGCCCCCTGAACTCAAAATGATTTCCTTTTTTCACAGAAGTACAAAACTTCTCACCCTGGTTTGTACGATAGTCCTTTAAAAAAAACCAGGCATGACAAACTTCCATCATTCCAGAATATACAAGCTAAAAATCTCTTTAATGCTAACATTAATTATGTATGTCTTAAGTACTTTGGGCCCAGTCTAGCTCCCTGTGAATCATATCTCACTTACCAAAATCAATATCTAATAATGCTGCATTTGCACCTTCTACCAAGATTTTCTTTGGTGGTCCATGTAGAGCCTCATATAGGAAATAAACTCCATCTCTCACCATTGGCTTAATCCTTTCCATATAACCCTATGCACAAAGACAAAAACCAATGTCCATGTATACTAACACACTGATAATAAAACCAACACAAGCATAAGTTATCTGACTTCACGGCAGTAAAAACTGACAAATGCAATGCAAAGTAAGAAGAGGGTTGGTGACTGTGTTTATCCTGCTATTTCAACATTTAGATTAGCTTTGGTCTCTCATGCTGATTCTCTAGAGCCAGAAAAGACACCAGATCAAGCACATTAGAGATCTAAGTGCTGGAGGTATAGCTCAGTGGCACAGCAAGTACGTAGCATGCTCATGGTGCTGGGTTCCACTTGCAGCACAGGGCATGTGTGTGTGTATGTGCGCGCGCACACACACGTGAAGAAATTCAAAAGTTCTATATCAACCTCACTGCAAATAATGGTAACAATCTCCCAATCAGCAAAGTATTATTTCATACACAGGATTTCAAGAAAATGACTTGGCTATATTACCTGCTGCTATTAAAATTTGTGAGGTATGTGGAAAGCTACATTTATAAAACATGTAACCAAGAATTTTGAAATTTATATCAGAGTGATTATCAAAATTTGGTGAGGGCCACAAGTTACACTGTCAGGCATGCAAGTTTCAGTGATTGATTGCTATTATTCTTTTTCTTTGTATTCCACTGCTATAAAGTATCTCCATAGCATTACTAGTTGATAACACCAAATATTATTTTACATGCGAGCTTTATAAAATTTTTTCAAATATGTTTATTTATGGGGCAGGGATTTAGCTCAGTGGTTCCAGCACCTGCCTTGCAAGCGCAAGGTCCTGAGTTCGATCCCTGGTACCAAAAAAACCCCAAACAAACAAAATACGTTTACTTATTTATTTATTTTTTTGGTACCGGGGATCAAACTTGGGACCTTGTGCTTTTGAGGCAGATGCAGGAATCACTAAGCTAAATCCCTGGCCCTTTTCAAATATACTTAAAGTGTTAAAATACTACTTAACTTTAGAATTCAAGCTAAAATGTACCGTAAATAAGAACACGCCCTAAGATAGTGATGGTGAACCTTTCAGAGCTGTCAATGATAAGAAACAGCCTGCTGCAGCACAGCACGCATGCCATAGGTTTGCCACCACTGCCCTAATGCCTATAGTGTAACTGCAATAATACCTTGTTTCAACAACAAAAACTAGGAATGGTAATTCTGAGATCTACTCATAGAAAAAGGTAGCTATTCTAAGCCACAATCAATGCACTGAAATACAAACACCTAATATTTAGAATGTTCCCTGGAAGTCACTTTATTTTTTAAAACGTTTTTGGATAGATCTACGGGTTACAACTACTCTAGGATGCCATATGGTTTGCAGACTCCTATTTGGTTCTGGAGATGGTACTGATACTTGTTTAAAGATGGGAAATACTAATCAGATAAACGGGCAACAGTATGAAATCCACCAATGGCCATGGGGATGCAGGGTGGAGACGGTGGGAACCCTCACTGCTTACTAGCTGGGCACCACTGACACCTACACTGCCAACTGGGGGCCTCAGCTTTGGCCAACTGCCTTATTCATCTCAGGAGTACAGAGCATGGAAAGCATTCACTCTATGGCTGTCAATCCTAAATGGGCTGGCTAGCTTTAGAGGTTACCACATCTCACTCATCCCCTTTGCTGATCTATGTACTCCAATTGTTATGAGTGGCTTTTGTATAATGCAAATGTTATCATTGCTCAAAATTATCCAATAGCCTTTCATTATCTCCAGGATAAAAGCTAAATTCCCTAGCATATAAGACCTATGATCTGGCCCCTACTTTAATTTTACCTTCACTTACTACTCCTGTTCCCCACCCAATATTTTGTCTAAAATGTTGACTATACAAAGTCATTCAAACATGCTATGTCCAGGACAAACTGGTACATTTCCTTTACCACTTCTTACACAAAACTGGAATGAATGAAAGATCTACATGCCAACTTGGCAAACAAGAGTTAAAAAGAACTTAAAGAGGTCAGAAAACATTACCTTGAGTTTTTGTAATTCACCTTCAATGTCTATTTCCAAAGTAGGGTATATAGATTTGTACTGCTTAGCTAGAACTTTGAACCTGAGAAATACAAATTAAGACATTAGCTCTCTTTAAAAATATTCAAGTATCATTATTCATTTCAAATAATATCTGTAGACTATAAGTAGTTCTCTTTTTTTGGTACCAGGGATCGAACTGGGGACTGTGCGCTTGCAAGGCAGGCAACGGCACCACTGAGCTAATTCCCCAGCCCTGCTACAAATAGTTCTAATGGCAAATTAATTCTAAAACTGAAGTTACTTTTTGAGAAAGAAAATTTAATAAAGGAGATCCGCCATATGAATAAGATACACTTAAAACATTTTTTCAAGTTTGAGACTAACAATGTGATTAAGGTGATGTGTTATAGGGAGGGAGAAAGGATAGAATGATGGAACTTTATAAACATGGAAGACTTAAATCTGAATTAATTTTATTACATAATGTAAAACACCAAAGGAAATGGTCTCAATGATGCTTGTACAAGAAAGTGGTAGACATTAGCAATGTGTCTCTAAGATACTTCAGTGGAGGTATCTTGCCATTCCAAACAAATTAGCTGTTGGTAAAAAAGAGACAGACCAGATCATTATAGTCTTGATGTGACTTGTTAAATACGACTAGTCCCCAACCCTGAGTCACTGTACAGCTTTTGACAATTACAGTTAGACGTGGTGCTGTACACCTGTAATCCCAGCTATTAGGGAAGCTGAAGCAGGAAGAAGTTCCAGGCCAGCCTGGCCAACTTGTTGAGATCCTGTATTACAATAAAAAGTAAAAAGAGATAGGGATGTAGCTCAGTGGCAGTGTCCCTGGGGTCAATCCCCAGTACCAAAGGAAAATAAGAGAACCTACAACATAGTGACTACACCAAGTACTGCCACACCCCCTAGAACTATTCTATTTGTCAGGAAACCATCCCATGCTCCAGTTCTCAAATATAATTCTGACTTCATCTTCTTGGAATACTAGTGTTATTTTCATGTTATTTTTAATGATGTGAATCTGAAAATGAGGGTGAATTAGAATGAAATAAAAGCAACTTTAGTATTCCAGACAAGAATAATAAGCCAAGCATCACTATTTAACTAGAATACTGGATATACCATTTTGTACTCTGGGGTTTAAAAATTATAAAGATCCGTTTGTTCTTTCAATTTGGGAACACAAAAGTTAGTTACCTCTCAGAGAAGCCATCAAAGTCAGAAACAAGATCACACATCCGAAGTCCACTTCGAGCAGCTTTGGAAGAATAAACTGGGCCAATACCCTTTTTTGTGGTACCCAAGCTTAAATTTAAAAAAAAATCAAACAAATTATCACAAAGAACAAAGTTATATATAACTATTTCTATTTATGTTATTTCCTGTTAAGTCCATTTTCATAATCCTAATGATTTTCTCAACATCTACACAGGATATTTTAATACTTATAGCCTAGAATTTAAGTATGAAGATCTAGATATGCTTAGTATAGTATCAGGAAAAAAAAAACTTACTTTTTTCCTGCTTGTTCTTGTCTCTGTTGTTCTTGGATACCATCAGCTGCTTGATGAAAATCAAATACTGAGGGGAAGAAAAACAAAATCATAGTTGTTGTTAAACAAAGAAAATATCCAAGAACAAAACATTTCTTATTTCAAACTACTAAAGTCACGAGTCCCTTCAGCCTCATTATGACAAATTACAAATACATTTTTAAAAGTGATAATGGTGGGCCGGGGATTTAACTCAGTGGTTCCATCACCTGCCTTGCAAGCACAAGGACCCGAGTTCGATCCCCGGTCCCCAAAAAAAGTGATAATGGTAGCAGTAAGGACCACAATGCCAACTGGCACATTAATACAAAAATATCCTAATCTTCCACTCTGCTTTATTACAATCTACAGTACTATAAAACTGAGTCATTGAGAGGTTAATTCTATAACACCATACCCTAAAATTATACAAAGCTCATTTTACAAAATTTCCTTCTGACTTCAAGTTCTGGACTCCAGCAATCTAGTGATCATTTTGACACTTTCTTCTTCCTCACTAGTCCCATGCATTTACCATCTCTCACCAAAACTACACCTTACCGTGTGTATTTCTTTCACTCGTGGACATTTCTAATCCAAATTCTTTAGTGCACCCAGAAACCATCTTTCTAAGACATGCATATAATGCCATTACTCCTATGCTCTTTAAAACTCAAGGGCTTTCTACTACTCTAAAGAAAAAAAGAAAACTCTTTTATGTATGACGTCTTTGTAGTGAACTTTGATCTCACACTGTGCTCTGTCTTTGTAGTGAACTTTGATCTCACACTGTGCTCTGCCCTCTGCTAACACTGGCACTCTTTGCTGTCCTTGAAAAGGTGTATGCTTCTCCTGCACAGAATTTACCACTTACACGTACCACATACCTGCACACTCAATTCATTTTCTACCCCCTCCATACCCCCCCCCGAGAATTAGGACAAAATCAATTTATCTTAATACTTAATTTCCTGTGCCAACAAGTTCTCGCAAATATTCACTGACTCAAACAATAGCTAGCTTATCAATGAGGTAGGCCAAGAATTCTAACCAAAGTTTTTGGGTAATGTTTTATTTTTTAAACATCTTATGGGAACATAATTTATAGATCATAAAACTTATCCACCTTTCGTGCACAATTCAATACCACCCACGGACTAAGCCTGGCACCTGAAACCATTTCCATACCCTCCCTAGTTTGCTCCTTTTGAGATACTACGGAAACTGTGCAGCAATCTCCTCCCATGCTTGACAGGATAACCACGACAGCTCTGGGCAACCAACAGATTTCTCTCAGGAGGACAGGTGCTAAATGTGTATGAGTACTGTATGATTTTAAATCATCTAATCAGTATTTGTTTCAATACTACAGAAATAGGCAACAACATCCTTAAAATTACACCACTATATTGTACACCGAGAGATAGCTACAAGAATGTTCAGAGTATATTTGTAATAGCCCAATACGAAAACCAACTCAAATTTTTATCATGGTACAACGGACAAATTGTGGTATATTTATATAATGGGGTACTATATAGCTACGAAGAAAGGAAATCCCTTTAACACTAAAGATGAATCTTACAGACAGAATGTTTAGTGGCAGACAGACCAAAAAAATAAATAAAAGACTGCATAATGCTTAATTTTATATAAAGTTCAAAAACAGACAAAACTAATCCATGATGAAAGAAACAAAAATAGTGGTTACCTTGATGAAAGGCAGCAGATAATAAGTAAGAAAAACAGAGTAGCTTTTTAGGGCACAAGTAGGGCTCTATATTTTAAGAAAGATGGTGATTAAATGGATAAATATGTGGTTTTTTGATGCACATACATGCACTTTGATGTATTACAGCGTACTTTAAAATATTAACATTTCTAATACATGGATTCTAGACTTTGGGGGAGGGGGGGTCAGAATTGTTCTTAAGAATTGTTTCACTGGGCCGGGGATTTAGCTCAGTGATGCCGCTGCCTGCCTTGCAAGCGCAAGGTCCTGAGTTCGATCCCCAGTACCAAAAAAAAAAAAGAACTGTTTCACTTAAATCTGAATTTATGAAATCAGTTATGACAAGGTTAAGATCTTGGAGTACTCTGGTTCTTTTCAATAAAAATTTCCCATTTAAATGTCTTTAATTTCTATTGTCAAAGAACTTTAAAAAAAGTAACTGGCAAGCCACAAATAAATGGTTGATGGAAAGCAGGTGAACCTATTTTCAAGAATTAATCTAGTACTTTCACAAAGCTAATGTTTTCCTAGGCTTCAGGAAGCTATTAGTATAATCACAGTAATTACTTTCTTAAAGCTTCATCATGGCATGGAGCCTTATATCTCTGCAATTACTATTTTGTAAGAACAGTGCTTGTTTGAAGTTGTTTTGAATGTTGCTTCTACTTTCTACAGCTCCAGATATTGGGGGAGAGCCACCTTGGGAATTTGGTCTAATTTTTTAAATTAAAGATAATAGTACATCTTTAGTAGTTATATTAACACCATTTAATTAATTTATTAACGTAGCTAAGTTTGGTTTTCTTTTCTTTTTTTAATTTTGGTGCAAGGGATGCAACCCAAAGCCTTGTGTACACTAAGCATGCGTTGTATTTCTGAGCTACACCCACAGCCCTATGGTTAAGTTTCATTAATTTTGTAATGTATCCCACGTGATCCTCAATGCATGTAACATCTACTTTGCCTGGTTTCTCACACCTCTTAGGCTTTATTAAGAGCCATCTCTCAGTGGAGCCTCCCTGGCCCACTGACACATGCATACATGTGACAGGACACATGCATATTTAAATACTGGATCGGTCATATACATGTTTCTTCATGGTTTATAGTTCCTACTTCTCCTTCCTGGTTATTATCTCTTAAGCAAGTTACTGCTAATTAACAATCATATTGGTTCAGAAATAATAATGGAAGAAAACCTCAAATTTAATGGTGGTAGATGAAATTAATTTTAGAATCTAGTTTGCTTAATGCAAGAGGCTGGTCTGAGTAAAAAGCAGTAATTATTACAGTGTAGGTAGGAAGAATCACTCTAAAGATTTGCCAGGGGGTAAATATACTTTTAAAAGGGTATTAATATGTATAATTAAATGCTCTTTGCATTTTTATATGGCCTATTTTTAAATAACTAAAGATGTCTCACAAAATACTGCTGGTATTCATCTGTTTAGCTAACCCTGTCTTCAGGAACAGGTATATTTCAGACTAGCTTTGCCCAAAGCAGAAAAGAAATACAGTAAGATTTTATGTATTTGGAACTCAACTGTAATCTATCCTCCTCAGGTTTAATAAAACTAAGACAAAATTGCTACATGCTATCATTTTTGATAAATTTGATAGTTATAAATAAATGCAGTGTGTCCTCCTTACCAATGTGAGCTCTGTCAGATATGATAAGCCTTTTTTCCCAGCCTTCTAGACCTAGAGGAAAGAGAAAAGGAATATTTTATGATACCCTCATTACGTTTTTTTAAATCTTAATTTCTTTACACATAAAATGTCTAAAAGTGTTTCTCCTGAAGCAATCACCTTGGTATCTTCTACATAGGAAACATTCTGTTTAACAAGTTTCCTCCTCTGCCCTTCACTCAATATACATTCACACTTTATCCCTCCAAATATTTTGCTCTAAAAAGCTCCAGTCTCACAACAGTCACCTCCACATTAAATACTTCTAGGAATGCAGAAGGAAAATGGTTGGAAAACATTTTTGCTGGACACGGGGGTAGGGAGCTAAAAACCTAGTAGGAGGAAAAAAATTCAAGACAAGGGAGTTAATTTTAGGGATGGCATCTTCCCAAAGACAATTATAAAAAAGGTTGACTAATCAAAAAAAAAATGAAACTTTCTCCACATTGCTGTCATTTCCTACATTTATGCTGAACTGTAATGAAATATTTGTATCTCTCCACAGAACTGAGCAGGGGCTATAAGTTTTCACAGCACACAGCTCTTCACTGAACACATGTTTGGGAAAAAAGAAATGACTAGAGGATGAACAGATGAACGAATTCAAACAGATATTTAAGATAGTACCTTGGTAGGCTTTATATGTTTTAAGGATTAAACTACCAAGCCCTAAACAGTTTCAAGACTAATATTTGTGTATTAAAAATTATTTACTGGGACTAGGGGAATAACTCAGTAGTACAGTGGCTGCCTAGCATGCACAAGGACCTGGGTCCAATCCCCAGCACCACAAAATATGAAAAATTTAATAAAAAAGAAATAAAATGGGAGTACTACTCAGCCATAAAGAACGAGAAATTAGAGACATTTATAGCTAAATGGATGCATATTGAGGCCATGCTCTTAAGTAAAAGAAAGAGGACACACGTGTAAATACCGAATAGTTTCTCTAGTGTGAGAAACTGAAAGTGTAAATGAAGATTAAAACAATTAAAATGAATAACTGATAATTTGAAATATGAAGAAAAGGCCCAAAGAGGTAGGGGAAGTGGGAGGGGAAGGGGAAAGGAAAGAAGGGAAAGGAAAAATTATGAGAAAAGAAAAAAATGGAAACAAAGGGCAGAGTGGAGGGGGTGAAGGGAGGGCAGGGAAATAAGAACCAAGATACATCGTGTGCAGGTACAAGCACCCAATGATAAATGTAAACATATTGTATACCTAAAATACACCAATAAAAGAATTTAAGAAAAAATAAAAATAAAAATTGTTACCTTTGATAATATTCAATATTCATTTTGAAAGTTTGTTCTTTATAGATTAAGGAGACCCCCCTCGGTAATGTGTTAAAAAGTAAGAAGTAAACCCAGCAGAGTAAGCCACACCCTCTACAGTTCTTTTCCCCCCTTCAGTGCTGGGGACCCCACCTAGGTCCCTCACTCTGAGCTACATTCCTCACCCCTTTTCACTTCTTTCAGGCACAGTCTCACCAACTCTCCCGGGCTGGGCTCAAGCTTGTGATCTCCCTGCCTCAGCTTCCCGGGGTATTGGAATTATGGCCATGTGCCACCATGCCTGGTTTCCAGTTGTTTCTGACATGTGACTATGTATTCTGAAGTTAATTTTCTATTCTAAGGGAAATAATACAAAGAAGCTCATGGAGGTGGACTCAATAGAGTCAGATAGGCCAGAAGGATAAAATAGGGCAAAACGACTTAGAAAGCAGGGACTATAAGATAAATAAAAAGACAAGACAATAAAGCTGGTAATAGACAGGGTTCTGTAAAGTCAGATGTAGTTGTTAAGATGGACTGCTACTTATCTTAGTAATAAACTTTAACGGTAATCAGACTAGTTTAAATTTGAGCTGATCTAAGAGGAAATTATATGAATGATGTTCCTCAGCGGTGTATTATTTAGATTATCAAATTCCCGTAACACCCCAATGAGGTAGCCAAATTGACCAGGAAAGACAGGAAGTAAAGGCTACTTCTTTTAAGGTGAATTGAATGAATACCCTGCCTAAAAGAAGCATTTCCCTCAGCTGGAAGGAAACTATCCCCTTTTATCCAAGTAGCACCAACCAAGGGTGAGCTCTTGATCTGGGAAGCGCTGGCAATGAGCAACTCGTGAATTTCCTACATTTGTGAACACATAGCAATTTTATACCTTAGCGTAAAGTTTTCAAGCGGTCAATGCATTTTTTAAAAAATCAGGATCTACAGCAGGGTCTTTCTGTTTTGTTCTGATTATAACGAATAAAATTCAGTAAGTAATATTAAAATTTTTTCCTTACAATAACTTTAAATTTGAAAGTATAAGACAAAAGTGTTAAGTTGTCGATATGGTATCCTAAAACATTCTACAAAAAATAACAGTTGGACTCATTCTTTCATACCTTTTCCTTTTTGAACATTTTTTTCTGCTTCTTCAAACAATCCAGGTAGGTGAATTACCACACCATTTCCTAAAAGAAAACAAACAATCCCCCACCTTAAACATCTGTAATTGTAATGTAGGTATGAATATATTTATTAAAATATACACATCTATAATAACCTTTTATCTAGAAGAATAGAATATTTAGGACATTCTGCTTTATCAAGTATTTACGACAAAAATGAATGTAAGTTTTAAGTATTTGTTTAACATAAATAAGAATAGAATATATAGGATATAAAACAAAATTACACTCCAAATAATTTCTGGGAAACAACTATACAGTTTGGGTCACAACAGACTACATCAATGTCATTCAAATTGGGGAATCATTTATTGGTGGTTATAAAATCAATTTAGTTGGTGATTGGCACTTTTAAAAATCAGAAGTAGAAGAGAAAATATTATATCACATTGTTTGTTTTAAGGGTTCAGAACCAAATCTTTCTTATGGTGAGCCACAATTAAACATACAGTATTTGGAAAACTAATTTGATCATCTAATACTTCTTTATACAACTAGATCAATGAACCATATGGTTAGTGAGAAATGAAATCAGTTTTGATAATGAAAAATAAACACTATTATTAATCCCCAAGCAGTTCAACTGAAATACTTACCAATGAATGCAGTAACATTTGGATTAATTATTCCACTGGGTAGAAGATGAAAATCATATTCCACAGAATCTACAACAACTGTATGGCCAGCATTATTTCCGCCCTGAAATACAAGACAGGGAAAAACTGAACATGACAATAAGTATGAAAAATAACATATCTCCTCCCAAAGTAAATCAATAAAAGTTTCTCCTAAAATATCAATATAACTTAATGAAGTCCAACTATTTGCCATGTGTACTGATGAATTAAAGGCTTTATAATAGTTTGGTTTTTCCTTTGTACTATAGTACACTTCAATGACTACTCTAAATGGATCTAGAAATTGGTGAATTCAGGTTTTTGGAAGACAATTATATTCTTTTTTAAAAGAATCAAGTGAAAACATACAGAAAACAGTCTGGCTTTGGCATTATGTATGTGTACCCATCCATTTAATTATCCATGATACTTTAGCTATACAAAACATCTCAAAGAAAAAGGTAATCCATACAATTAGCCTAACTTGATGCAAATATTCATAAATTTCCTTTTGTTCCTAGGGCATGTCAAGCAACTTTGTGATCTGAAATTTGTATTCTTTCATGGGCCGAATTAGGATGTCTCCCAAGTAACTCCCCCAAATATTAGCTATCCAAAGACATTTATAAATCAGCCTTGTGCACTTACTTAAGAGACAGATTGCTAAAACCTGCCCATCTCTGGATAAGGAAAGTCACTGGGTCAAGGACCCTATAATGGTCAGAATCACACTACAAAGCCATGGAAAATTTTCTACTCTATAAAATTTACTCCTACCTAGTCAATAAAAAGTAAAATAATAAATTACATAAATAAGGTACAAAGAAGACAATTATTAAATGTCCGTGTAATTTTTCCAACTTTTAAAAAGCGTGGATGAAAGCACAAATCAATTGATTATATATGTTTTGTTTTTTGGGGTAATGGGGATCGAACGCAGGACCTTGTGCTTGCAAGGCAGGCACGGTGCCACTAAGATAAATCCCTGGCCCTTGATTATATATGTTTAAACTTCATAATTTTAACAAACATAAAAAATTAAGACACAACAAATAAGAACATTTAACATTGTTGCGTGACATTAGGAAAATATAAAATAAAACTATACCTCCTGAGAATGATTAATTTATCTTGATTAAAAGACTGCTTTTGACAAAATAAATGTTATTTACTTTTTACACTCTTCACCAATCATGAATTCACATAAATGCAAGAACACTAGATCTTGTTTAAAAAGCTTCAAAAAGTAGTAAATACTTATTTCACCGTTTTTCACAGCATAAATAACTCCTGCTTGAAGGCTAATACTTTTAATGTCATATACTTAGGAAAAAAAGACTTAATAGCAGTGGTCACTTTGACAGCCACCAGATGACAGGTGGAAGCAGGACACAGAAGACAGATGCACGAGTTCTAAGCAATAAGTCCTTCACAGGACACCAACAAGCAAACAGGTAACACACATGCTTATATTTTTTTACTATTTCATTTTTTTAAATTTTAGTTTATTAGTACATACGTGTAGCATATAATATTTACACTTCTTGAGGGAAATTCATTACTATTTAAATTGTAAATTAGTTTAAGTCCTGGCTGGAAAAGTTCAGCTGTAAAAAACTAGAACTCATACTTAAGAGGCAAAGCTTGCTCACTCAACCATTGTTTTTCAACAACCAATGTCACATTAAGAATGATTATATGGTTCAAATATCATCTAAACTGTCTAGCTGAATATGAAAATAGTGTTGAATATAACCCCAGAATAACCCAAGATTATCTTATTAAAGACTGAGGAGAGAAAAGTAAGTATTTGTGCTTTGTGTGGGAGATGGGGTAGGAAAACTTCATCTCGAACAGAGATGGGTTCTGAGGTGAACTGAGAAGGAACTACATATAAGGAGTTTCTTGATGAGGCAATCTACATAAATGTAAGTTTTAGTACACTGTCATATTTCTGAAATGCAACATATGAAGCTCCAAATTTAAAGGGCCTTTTTAAATGCTAGGCTAAAATACAGATTGTGTGGTACATGCCGCATCCCCCTTGGGAGCTCAGGCAACTGTCCTCAAAGATGATACTGGTCCAAGGAGTGTTCACATTCTTTAGCAGATAAGAGTAAGAGTTTCAAACAAGAGCACAGTGCTGACCACAACCGCACCCCCACTTACAAACCACAGGGACAGATGGAGCCGCCGGACAACAGGACACTCTGCACCATGTGCCCGGATGACCAACAGCAAGGACATGTTTATTTAATCATGTCAATGATTCTCATAAGTAGCACTAAGGCCAGACTGTACTAAATAAAATGATGGGAGAGAGTTTTCTTTTTCTAATTTTCATGGAGCTGTACTGTTCTCTTAGCCCAAATTTCACCCAAACCAGACCTGGTAAATTATATCCCCAAAAGCACTAGTCACATACAGTATTCATAGTAACAGTTACATGTAACTACCTCTTACTGCTTTTCTAAGTCCCTGTAATGCTCTGGTCCTAGTCACTCATGTTCCAAATAAAAATACTTTTAATTATCATAACTATATGATATGTTACTTAACTAAAAAATAGATAAGTTATACAAAGACCTGTGGAAATGCAATTAAAGGTTATTTTCTGGATCAATATCATAAGGAAAGTATTTAATGATTCTCAGATTCTTAATGATTCTCTTAATTTTTCATCTGAAGTGCCCCTTCCAAGAGAAAACAGTGAAGCACATTACATATATGGGAAGTTTCTTTGGGGAAAAATGTAAGTTTACAATGGCTTATGTGATATTCCTCCAAGAATAAATCAAGTTAATTGTATTAAAACAAAGAACAAGCAAGGGCCAGGGATTTAGCTCAGTGGTTTCAGCGCCTGCCAAGCAAGCGCAAGGTCCAGAGTTCGATCCCCAGTACCAAAAACAAACAAAAAACCAAAGCCAAAAACAAAGAACAAGCCAGGCACAGTGGCACACGGCTGTAATCCCAGCACTTGGGAGGCTAAGGCGAGGGCAAGAGGATAGCAGCGAGAGTAGGAGGAGTCTGGACAGCACAGTGAGACCCTGTCTCAAAAATTAATTAAACAAACACACATAAACAGTGAAGAACACACAACCAAAAATTCAGCTAACTTCCTTTCATTCCACCAATTTGCTTTGACTACTAGTCCCCCCACACTCCTACCCTCCACCCTTACATTGGGGACAGAAGTCAGGGCCTCCCACTTGCTAAGCAAGCACTCAACTGCAGAACTGTATCCTCAGCCCTTCACTACTACTTTCACACTATTACGTATGTATGTGTAAATGCAATTAACATCCCTTAATTTTTATTAATTTTCTTTGGCTACCAGCCACCCACTCCATCCTGCACCCTCATATATACATAGCTAATGTTATATACAATTATAATATATAATTAACCTTTTTGATGACTAGGAAAAAAACGGGTCCCATCATAGAACTATGAAATAAACTGGGACACTAGAAACAAGCAAGCAAATGAAATGGAACTAAAACTCTTCTGAAAACTGAAAAGCAAAGTTTCTGATGTATTCATCCTTTCAACTTTTAGAAAAACACATAGATACAATTAAAATAAAAAACCAATTTAACTCAAATATTTTTCCTTCTACAAGAGAAATAACGAGAGGTCTACAGTGTATAAAACTGCTAAGAGTCTGTTTGTGGGGTATATTATCCTTACTGACTTACATATTTTGAGCCATTCTTGCATCCCTGGGATGAAGCTGCCTCGGTCAGAGCTTATGGTTCTTTTAAGGACTTGTTGAATTCCGTTTGTAGGTATCTTATTGAGGCTTTCTGCATCAATGTTTCTCAAGGACATTGGTCTGTAGTTTTGTTTTTGTTGAGTCCTTATTTCATTTTGGTATCAGTGTAATGCTCACTTCTTGGAATCAGTTTGGAAGCATTCTTTCCCTTTTAATTACATGCAAAAGTTTGAGGAGTACCGGTGATAGTTGTGTAAAGTTCTGGGAAGGGTCAGCAGTGAATCCACTGGCTCCTGGGCTTTTCTTGGTTGGTAGAGTTTTGATTATGCATCAGTTTCATTGCTTATTACTGGTCTATTCAGTGTTTTTATATCTCCTTGATTTATTTTTGGTGTGTCATATGAGTCTAAGAATTTATCTGTGTCTCCCAAGTTCTCCAATTTATGTATTTGTTATATTAGTTTTCAAAACATATAAACAGAATCAAGCATTTAAAAAAAATCATGATTGCCTCAATAGATGTAGAAAAAGCCTTTGACAAAATCCAACATCCCTTCATGATCAAAATAGGTATAGAAGAATCTTATCTCAAACTGATATAAGCCATATATGACAAACCCTCAGCCAACTTGATACTAAACAAGGAAAAAGTGAAAGCATTCCCTCTCAAGTCAGGAACAAGACCTGGTTGCCTACCACAACCATTCAATAAAGTACTTGAAACTTTGGCCAAAGCAATCAGGCCGAGAAAGAAATTAAAGAAATAGGAAAGTATCTTAGTCACTTTCCTTACTGAGACAAATACTCAATCGACACCACAACTTAGAGGTTTATTTTGGCCCACAGTAACAGTCCTTGGTGGGCTGGCTCCAAGACAGATACGGCACAGTGGAAGAACCCAGGCAGAGGAAAAGCTGCTCACATCATGGCAGCCAGGAAGCAGAGAGCAAAGGGAAGGGCCAGGGAGGGAGATCTACCCTTCCAGGTCATACCCCAGTCACCCACCTCTTCCAACCAGGTCGTACCTCCTAACAGCACATTTAGCTATAGCACCCCCATGATTCAATCACCTTTCAGAAGCCCAGCCTCTGAGCGGATGAGCGTTTTTTTTTGGGGGGGGGGGGTCATTCTTGATCTGAACCATAACAGAAAGGAAGTCAAATTATATTTGCAGGTGATACAATCCTTTACACAGAAGACTCAGAAACTCCAACAGAAGGCTCTTAGAGCTGACAAACAATTCAGCAAAGTGGCAGACTACAAAATCAACAAACAAAATCAATACTGTTTTGTACACCAATGATGAACACAACAAGAAAGTAATTAGTATATCTTTTTTTTTGGTACTGGGGATCGAACTCGGGTCC